ATGCTGGAGGAAGCCGAAGAGGTTGAAGTCCTCAGGACAAAGGTCGATCCGAAGGAGAACACAAACTCTTAAGACTGGTGTGATGCCAGGAATCACCACGCTATCAAGGCTGGCTTCTCTTATCATGATGCTTGGCGACAGGAGAAATCGCGATGCAGGGCTACTCTTCACAGGATGAGAACCTGGGTCAAGGAGCGATTCCGTCTTGAGCAGAAATGGCTGAAAGAGTTCAGGAAGAAAGGCAGCAGAGGTTCTAAGGACTACGTCAGGTGTGGACACGGAGAACTTGGTCGGCGGCGGAGTTGAGGCTGAGGTGACCGAAATGGCCGATGACAAGATGAAGGTTAAGAAAGGAGGAAAAACTACAGGTTTGGAGCAGGTTATCAAGAAGCCGCTAAGCAAGGCAGAGCCTGAGGCATTCCGGAGGAAGAGGCGGTGGTCATGAGCAAGCCGACGGCGGACATCTTCAAGAAGAGAAAAAAGAAGACGACAGGAGTTTACGGTCGCCTTTTTCACATAACGAAGGAGCTACGAATGTGGAAGCGCTCCCACTGCCGCTACTTCTTGCGCGACAGTTGCCATTCACAGCGAGAAAAAACGAGATTGTGAGGATGGAGAAGCCGCAAACTTCCTGGGCGGATTTTCGGCCCTCGCGGAAATGCTGACCCCCCGCAGCATTCAAGGATTTTTCGGCGGCCCCGCAAATCCTTAAATGCTGACCCCCCCTCGGCATTTAAGGAATTTTCGGCCCCCGCAAATCCTGAAATGCTGCCCCCCCCCCCCGAGCATTTAAGGATGTTTTGGCCCCTGCAAATCCTTAATGCTGACCCTCCTTCGGCCCCGCAAATCCTTAAATGCTAACCTCCCCTCAGCATGTACGGATTTCTTGCAAATCCTTAAATGCTGACCCCTCAGCATTTAAGGAGGTGCCAACCGAAAAACTTAACCGCTGAACCCCCCCCCCCTCCCCAACATTGCCGAACCCCCCCCCCTCTCAGCATTTCAAAATTTGCTCGACCCCCAAATAATCCTCATTTGCTGAAGCAGGGGCGCATGCGCACTTGCCTGCAGAAACCATGCAATTCCAGCAGCGCAGTTTCAAACGTGTTGCATGTGTTCATTCAAGCGACGGTCGCAGATAAGAAAATGCAAAAACAGATGCTCTGCTGCTACCACAAAAAGAGTTTGTGAACTGATAAGTCCTGAAGCGCCGGTCAGCAACTATGCCTGTCGCCCGCAAAATCCTTAGCTGCTAAAGGGGGGCGGGGTCAGCAAGGAAGGGTTTGTTTGGCCCAAAAAATCCTTAATTGCTCCGGAGGTTTGGGATCAGCCACAGAGGAATTTGTTGGACCGGAAACGGACCGAAACATTCTCAATTGTTGGGGGCGGGCCGGAGGTCGGCAACTAGGATGCACAAGGAGAATCAGCAATTAAGGATTTTTGGCGGTCGAAATATCCTTGAATGCTGAGAAGGGGTTGTTGCCGCCGCAAAAATCCTTGGAAAGGCCAAATTGGACAAGAATTTGGAATCCTGTCACCGCTGGCTTAGCGAAACGACGCCTACGTTGAAGGAGGGGCGTTGACGTGTCAGGTCCCCCATAGGTCACACATGGACGGGCCATTTTGCCTCAAGACACATGCTAACATAGTGCGCGGCTGTCCGCACCACATATTCTTTGAAAGACATGTCTCCGCTGACAAGGCCGAATTGCTACCCATTCAACGTGTTGATCAACATTCCTGTGCAATCGAATTTATGCAAATATATACATATACTTGTGGCTTCCCGGCGGGTACATTTTTAAGCATTTTTCTGCTGTTTGGTTAAAAACCCATGCTTTCCATCGAGACGGCACTTTTTTTGCGAAACGACACTGTTGCATGTTGAGCATTGTAGGCGGTCGCTTGCCAAATCGAAACAGCAATTTCACCCGTCCAAACGGCAGTCCAAACGGCAACTCTTCTGATCGTTGGACGGTCGGATGGGCATTTTGTGAAGCGGCCGTATCCTCAGGCAAACGGCGCATTTTTCCCGAAACCGCAGAGACAGAATGCCTTGTCGCCAAACGGCAAAAATTTGTACCCTCCGGAAGTCGCAGGTATAGCCTCAACTTCCAAAAGTGCATCTTTGAGAGGCCGCTGGAAAGAGGTGTCAAGATAAACTCGGAAGTATCCACGTTTTCACATTGGCCGCATATGGTGCGGCACCCACATCATCACTACATCCTTTCCTTTTTGCTCTCAATATTTGACACCTTTACAGTTGCAGGAGTGGTTGATGCAGCTGCACGACGGCATGACGCAGATGGACCAGGACTTGCTGGATGCTTTACAGGAAGCGCAGGCTTCTCGAACGGGGCGACATGTTTGGGTGGCGGATGGGAATCTGTGCCCGCAGTCTCGAAGTGGGCGGGAGAGCCGTGTGCGGACGGGTCATGTTGATTGTCACAACTGGTTGAGGCGGGAAGGCAGGAAGACGCCGAAACGGTCAGCCATTGCAAGCCTGCGCTAAAAACCGGAGCAACGGGGAAGCGGCCGGTTTGACTCGCAATGAAACGATCATTTGATTCTTGAGCATCCCTGGCTTTAGTACAGTGAGGTATAGTGAAGTACACTCTTTTTGCAAGGAGCGGGAGACTATTTGTGTTTTCCCTGGCTGCGTTTGGGCAGTCGCTGGATTTCCCCTTAAGTTGATCATGTTGTTTCTAAATTACTGGTGGTTCTCTTTTTGGGCAGTCACTGGGTGCCCCCTTAAGTTGATCAATTCACTAAATTACTGCTGGTTCTTTTTTTGGGCAGTCACTGGGTTTCCCCTTAAGTTGATCAATTGACTAAATTACTGGTGGTTCTCTTGGGCAGTCACTCGGTTGCCCCTTAAGTTGATCAATTGACTAAATTACTGGTCACTGGTGGTTCTCTTGGGCAGTCACTGGGTGCCCCGATAAGTTGATCAATTTACTAAATTACTGGTGTTTTGTTCCTTCGGGCGGTCACTGGGTTTCCCCTTGAATTGGTCAATTTGCTGGTTTTTCCTTTTTGGGCAGTCACTGGGTGCCCCGATAAGTTGATCAATTTCCTAAATTACTGGTGTTTTGTTCCTTCGGGCGGTCACTGGGTTTCCCCTTAAATTGGTCAATTTGCTGGTTTTTCCTTTTTGGGCAGTCACTGGGTGCCCCGATAAGTTGATCAATTTCCTAAATTACTGGTGTTTTGTTCCTTCGGGCGGTCACTGGGTTTCCCCTTAAATTGGTCAATTTGCTGGTTTTTCCTTTTTGGGCAGTCACTGGGTGCCCCGATAAGTTGATCAATTTCCTAAATTACTGGTGTTTTGTTCCTTCGGGCGGTCACTGGGTTTCCCCTTAAATTGGTCAATTTGCTGGTTTTTCCTTTTTGGGCAGTCACTGGGTGCCCCGATAAGTTGATCAATTTCCTAAATTACTGGTGTTTTGTTCCTTCGGGCGGTCACTGGGTTTCCCCTTAAATTGGTCAGTTTGCTGGATTTTTCCTTTTTGGGCAGTCACTGGGTGCCCCGATAAGTTGATCCATTTCCTAAATTACTGGTGTTTTGTTCCTTCGGGCGGTCACTGGGTTTCCCCTTAAATTGGTCAGTTTGCTGGGTTTTTCCTTTTTGGGCAGTCACTGGGTGCCCCGATAAGTTGATCAATTTCCTAAATCATGGTGTTTTGTTCCTTCGGGCGGTCACTGGGTTTCCCCTTAAATTGGTCAGTTTGCTGGGTTTTTCCTTTTTGGGCAGTCACTGGATATTCCCTCAAGTTGCAGTCACTGGGGTTCCCCTTCAGTTGATGCTCTTCAACTGAGAAAACAATGGCTGTTTTTTTCCGTGGCAGACAATGTTAGGGGCTTCCAAGAAGGTCAGGCAATGTCACGAGCACCCCACACGCATGCGGCCGCATGCGGTGTGACTCTTAGGTGCTGCCTGACAGATGGCCCATCCATCCTGAACACGGCATATCAGTACCCTCACTGGCCGGGAGGCTGCTTGGCAGAAGTGCATGGGACCAGCAGCTGCAACAGAGTTCCCTAGGGCGCCTCACGCGAAAAGGTTTCAGAGATTGGTGAAAAGACATGTTTGCCGAAAGCTACTAGTTGGTTTGCTAGCTTGGTTTAGAGGACCGCCTTTTGACATTACTCATTGAGTCTAGCCTATGGCCGCTGTGGCACTTCCTTCAAACACACTCCGAGGGAGCACAGGACCTGCCGGGTATGTGCGTGGGCTGGTTGGTGTGTGCGAGGAGTTGGGGTTCCCCTCAAGCACTCTACTCTGGATTGTGTTTATTTTTATGTTAGGATCTGTCAGCAAGGGTCGCTAGCTCTTTGAACGAGCAGGAGGTCGGGCACCAACAATGCGCGCTGGGATACCGCTCAAAGTTGGAAATGAGCGCCCTAAGAATTTTGAGCAGTGGCGAGAAAGCAATCATAGGTGCAACCAACTGCCGTTGGATGTTGGTTTCGCTGGATTTCGGTGCCTTCGGCAAGAGGTCGCGTGGCCATCAAGGCCGCCGGGCCGTGATTGTTCCTGCTTTCGGGGTGCGTAGCAGGTTCACGTGTATGCGGCTTCGATGGTTGATTTGCCTGCGGCCTTGCCGCAGGCTACAGGACTTCTTACAAGATGAGCGCACGGATCCAGAGATTCGGCAGAGACTGTGCTGGTCAATCCGCAGCGCAGAGCCCATTCAGCGGGTGCAAGCCTTGTGACTCGCCGCCAAGGATGCCACAAGCGCGAAACCTGGGGGGAGGCTTTGCTGTTGTCCCTTTTTTTTGCAGGGCGTATCGTCCATGTTCGGCACGCCCATGCCCGATCAGCAAAGCGCCGGTTTGGACGGCAAAGCCGTTATAGCCGTTGCAGAAATCTGATTTAGGTAAGGAGGCTGACGGCTGATGGCTGTGTGCGTCATATGATGGTGATTGGTGCCTGAGAACATGATCAATGCCGCCCAGAGTCCAAACCCTTCAGATATCTCATTTTTTTCTTTTTCGGAGACCCCTGAGGCTTTGGTTGTGATACATAGCTACAATGGATGAGAGCTGAGGGAAAACGGTCACACGTGGATCTCAAAGGCGTTAGCCACACCAGTTTGGGAGTCCATGTACAAGCCGCTGGCAACCAGCGCGGAGCTGCGAAGAACTGCCAAAGCCGCAAGTTGTTTTTCGAATGCGGTTTCAGGCCTCCCGCAACCACGGTTGAAGAGCAGGCCAGACATCTTTACAATGTGAACTGGCTGAATAAGATGTTCAAGAGCCCCATGCCCAGTTGTTTCTTGAAGATCCCAGGTGAGGCCTAGGCCTTAAGGGGGTAAGCTCGCTTCGGGTAGGCAAAGTGTGAGGGATTTCTAAGACTGATTCGCGCAAGCGGCGGTTGTGTCTTGAGAAAGGGAGCGGAACGCGTCGAAGCTTGGGGCAGCGTTGTCAGAAATGCGGACACCTTCCTGAGATGATGCCTCCAAGATGCTTGGCCGAGTTGGGTCTTTAAGGGTACAACTTTCGGTTTGTTGATTTTGACACACTCAGATAGTACCATCACGCTCCTGAGTCAGGATGGGCACCGACGTTCGGAGCCCGAAAGAGGTTAGAGCTCGAGGCAACGGCTGGCAGAACCTTGAACCCCCGCTTTTCCAACGGAAAATCTGGGCTGCTTCTCAAATCACAGGCGGAATGCGTTGAAATTCGAGCTTGATCCGTGTTTGTGTTTGTCCATGTTCTTTTTGGGGGGGAGTTTGATCCTTGTCTCTGCTTGTCCATGTTTTTGTTTAGGGGATATGCTTGTTTGCGTGGCCATGCCTGCTTGAACGAAGGGTTTTGTGTACCCTGATGCTCCGCTGCGCCTTTTGCCCCTGAGTGTGAGCCATAGGATGAAACGCCGGGTTGAACGACTCACGACTTCTGGCGTCGAAACCCGGAGGTCAAACATAAGTACTCAAAACGGAACCCTGGAAAGGAAGCAAGGACTAAAGCCTGCGGTCCCCTGGTGGTATACTTTTGACCCATACCCAAAGTTCACCCCAAACAAGGCGCCGCGATGGACTTCCCGAAAAACCATCCAAACATTTGCCGGGGAAACCCCCGACCCGCAGAAAACCCCCGCTGCCGAGCTGCGTCCGGCTCAAAGCAGTCGAGCTCAACGCGGATCCGCCCGAGCGCCAAGCAGAGCCGATGATCGAGTATAAGCATGGCACCTGGGGGATGGCCGTCTTGGCTCGGCGCCGCGGCTCTGTGATCCCCAAGGCACGGGACCCGGAAATCCTTCTTGGGGAAATGACCCGAGATGGCGCCAGTGCCCCAAGGCATCCTTGGGATTTCTTGGGGCAAAAGAGACAAAGGGCCTGGGGCTTGGACGAGTGCCAGTTGGTTCAGCTTTCATGTCCAAAAGGTTGTTCTTTTTCAGTCGGCCAGAGCTTGCAGCGTCTTGCTTGCAGCAGCATTCTTCCTTGAACAGATGGGAGCGACAGTGGGCCGAAAGCTCTTCGACGGTTTCTGCTTCTCGTTTTGGAATGGCAGTGAGGAATGTCATTTGGCAACCGGATAACATTCAACCGCGCTTTGGCACACATTGAAAGAGCACAAAAACGACATGCACAGACACTCGAAGCAAATTGAGCTGCCTGGTGGCTTGCCTCGCGGAGCGCACGTCGCGGGTGCTGGGGTCCTCCAGGCCTTGGTTTGGTCCTTACCTTGTGCCCTGATCACCGTGCTGCTGCACAGCTTTTGGGACACGGAGAAAGGCGAGGCCAACCGCGAGATGGAGGGCATCACCACGATGCTTGGCCAAGCCGAGGGGAAGAAAGCGTTGGTGCATGTTGCCCAGGGAGGTTGGGACAAGTTGGGACGTTAACTTTTTTTTTGCCAACTAATGGTTTTGTTTTTCCGAATTAAACCACTGACAGTTGAAAGCTTTTAGCAGGGGAGCAGAAAGCAGCCAAGAAAGGGCAATACCGGGACTTGGGGCCATCATCTGCAAAGAAAGGAGGGGGGAAAATCACGAGGTCTTTGCGAGATCCCCTGCTCCCCTTTGCACCCAAAACCATCCGCGCACGCTGGTGCTCGAGCGGGTTTCCAGTACCATGAGTTGCCCAAGCTTCACGTAGCGCGACACAACTTCCAGACACTGCCCTGGCAAACCCTTGACTCAAACACCAAGATATCAGGATACCGAATCTCAAACTTCGCGAGTCTCAGATTCCGTTGTCCGCGGCTGCGCGAGAGCCATACACAGGGCAGCCATGGTGTGCAGAGCTTGAGAGGGGTACACTCCCTCAGACAAACATGGAAGCGCCTCCGTCAATGGAATCAAGTCTTCCAAAGGCGTTCTGGGAGATGTTAGCCTGGGGGAGGGTATATCAAGTGGAAGCCAATCCTACGTAAGGATTTGGTCCAGCTTCACTTTCGTGCTTGGCTTCCTCATCGTCTTCAGGAGCAACCAGGCTGGAGCCTCCCAGTGGGCCGAAAAAGCTAGGCATGATTACTCAAACACAAGAGAAAGCTCTGCCTTGCCATGACCATGGAAGCCAACCATCTCATGGAGTTTCGCCCTAGTTTGTCACCAAGTGTTTGTGGCTGCGTGGGTTTCAGGTGAGCTTTCAACACATTTGAACAAACTGAGAATCGTGGCAGGGTTCCAGTCCAACTTAGCTCTTTGCTTTGGTTCATTTTGCCAAGGGATGTTAGGACGTCATCTTTTTGCCAACTAATTGGATTTCCATTAAACCGCTAAAAGTTTTCTGCAGGGGAGCAGAAAGCAACCGAGTTTGGGCTGTTGGGACTGGTTGTTTTTCGCGATTTGCTCCAGGCCTACTCACGATTTTGGGAGAGCGTGACCTTGTTCCAGCAGACCAGCGGAGAGTGGACCAGCGCACTCAGCAACTTGCTGTCTTTCTGCAGGGCAGAGGCGGAGTACAAGGACGACGTGGAGAAGTTCCGACAGTATTTGATTCGCCTGCTGAGCCTTCTGCACTGCAATGCGCTTCAGACTCTTGGCTCCTGAGTTGTCTCCAGCCAGGAAGTGGGGTTTGTCAGCTGTTGCCTTCCGCTTTGGGCAACAAGCTCAGCGTAGGGCGAAAAGCTCAGCTGGTTGGAGACTTCTGGCTTGGCCTAGGTGCAGTGGAACCTTGCTGTGTATTGCAAGGAACCAGCTTGGGGGATTGCCAGATGCTCAAGAAGATTGCGAGCCTTCACAGCCTGCCCCCAGTTGGACAGAGTTTCAGGAATGCTCCTGTTTGTCGTTGAACCATACCCGAAGTACCAGCATGCAGAATGAGTTGTCGTTGTTGAGGGTCGGCGAATCGTGTGGATTGCGGGTACAGCTGGCCTAGGACCATGTGTGAGCTAGATGACGACTCCCTGGAGATCTTGAACCTGAACGGCATCAGCGAGAGGAGCTTGCAGCATTTGAGCCGCAGCCCTGACAGATGCGAGACGGTCCTGCTGTGGATAGAGCGCCTGATCATCGACGCATGGCAGAAAATACTTTGGGTGCAACGTGATACAAATTGCACCACCCAGCGTGCTTCGCCCGGCAGATTGTACCGTGCTTGCCGTGCAGTTTTGTCGCTTTACTCAGAAACCAGGTTTTTTTTGTCCGCCAACCGCAACACTTGTTGATCGGTGAGATATGTTCCCTTCCCAGCAGATTCAACAGCCAATGTCAGAATGGTCATTTGCGCAAGGCTGCGGGTGCAGGATGGGTGTGCAGCGCCGCTCTCAACAGCCCAGCCAGTTCTTTGAAGACAAACCCGCTAACTGATGGGAGGAGAGCGTGCTCAAGCAATCCACCCTCTGATGCATAGGCTTCCAGACGCACGAAAACAGAATCTTCACCCATCAAGCTGAAACGGGAACAGGGAAACTTAAGGCCGACCAGCCTGCACGACATGTGCATGCGTCCCTTTGTGACCTACATGTTCAATGTACAAGGGTAGCCTCGGGGTGCTATGACAGATAAGATGTAGCACCCTAGAAGCCGTGCATTCTAATTGTTGCTCATCGAATACGTGTGCCGTGCCGGGGCGCACACCACAATGAACCCCGCAGTGTCTCATGCCTGTATTTCAACACATTGCAATGTCAAGCATGCATGTGCACTGCCTTCTTTGATTCCGGCAACTGTTGAAGCCCAGATGTTTGCAAGTTGCACCAGCAAGTAATGACCCTATCGATTCCAGAACTGCCGCTCTTGACCAAGCCCAGAACCTGCGAAATGGGGCCACCCGGCCAACAATACCAGCTTCTGTGCAAATCTCGTTCTACTTGTGGGTCGAACGCCGCGAACTGAAGCTCCTGAACGCTTGGGCCGGCCAAGCGGTCAGGAAGCCAACAACAAAGAATTGTTCGACGTGCCGCCGCCCATCCTCTCCCGTGCCTTCCAAGAGCTCTCTCGCGGCATGGTGGGCGTCACCAACGTGCGCAAGATCCGCATGATTCCGTGCCCGGGCCGGTAATGAATGCCTGCACGGAACACACCTGTTTGCGTGTGGGGCTGGGGAAAATGTCATCCTTTTCGTCCGGAGATTCTGGTATCGCGCTGATAGAGCCTTCTGGGACCCGGGCCGGAATCCTAGGTTTCCATTTCCGTATTCGCAGTACTTGTCCCTGATGCTGATCGCGCACTGGATCCTCACCCCATTTGTTGCGAGCCAACTGGTTTTGAAGGCTTGGTGGGCTGCTTGGCTGCAACAGCCTCTCTGAGCATTCCGACCCTCCAGCCCAGGCGGTCCTTTCATGCGCGTATGCGATCCATCTATGTTTGATATGGTTCAGTGCATCTATGCAAGCTTCTTCGTGTCGCTGGGTTCATTTTGAAAGGACTGGTCACTTGGTCCAGAGCTGCTTGGTTGGCTCCAAGAGTGTTTCACATGAGCAAGTGCTGTTCCTTCTTTTCCCTGGATAGACCTGATGAAAGCAACGCACCCAACCCTTTCGACTGCAAACCGCTTTGCAGACTGCATCGCACGCCACGCCCGAGGGTCTAACATCACTTTGGCCACCATTTGGCATGAGCCACAGATAGCCCCAAGTGACGCAAGAGTTTTTTTTGGCAGCTCAGAGCCTAGCCTCTGCTTCTAGCCCTGAGGCGGGAATCATCGTGTTTGTGGTTTCCACGTCCTTCTGGACGCTGTTCTACATCGCCCAGGAGATCGATCAACCCTTCGGGGAAGATGCCAATGACCTCCCGGTCCGCGACATGCAGAAGGAGTCCCTCCCAAGTCGGGAAGTTACCGTTGCACAGGGCCCTTGCCATCCTTTCGGCCTGCAAGTGTTTTTGTTGCCCCCTGGAGAACCAAACCAGATAAGAAGGAAACAACTGAGGAGTTCAACATGAAGCTGGAATACTTTGTGAAGCCCCTCTCCTTCACTCTCCCCGACTACACCTTCACTGCGGAGCGGCTTCCCGTCCAGGCGAGTTCGCATGGAGAAACCCCTCACCAAGCTTGGGGTACCTCAATGCCATATGCTTGGGGCCTGGACCCTGTTCTTGAAGCGGAGTTCCGGGGTACAGTCTGCGAAAGAGTCCATTGATCAAAACCACTCCTTTGTTTTGTCTCAGGCATCAGAAAGCAAAGGTCGGGCACTCCAGGCCCAAGCGCTGGGCCTGAAATGAGCATGGCTTTTTGGCCGTACTCGCCAAGCGTGCATCAACTCTGGTTTAGCATGGGTTTTTTTGCGTGTTGAACGCCAGGTGCTGAGCTCAAGCACCTTCAAGCTGGACGGGAGCCTCTCACTCGGGGAGCCTTCTGAAGTGCCCTGGAGCGTTTAGGGTTTTGGGGTTTGGGGTTTAGGGTTTAGGGAAGGCTTGCAATGGGATTCATGTCATGAAACAGCTCAAGCAAAGGTGGGTTCTAAAACCTTGGCTGTAGGTGTGACATGGCGAGTTTGTAGCTGTTCACGGGCATCATATGTTGCTCAGCATCTTCGAAGCGGTTGTGTCAACTCGCTGCTTAGAAGGACTAGCAGTGCTTGTACGTCGCGAGGGCAACGAAAGATCAGGCAATGAGCTGGTTGTTTCGGGCAGGCAGTTCAGTTTCTATGCAACATGATTCCCACTTCGGATATATAACAATCCTGCGAATGCCAAGGTTGCAATGAATATGAGGCGTGGCCCTCGTTGGTTCTTTTTTCTTTTAAGGGAAGACGAAAGGAAGCCAACCATTGTTGGGATCCCTATTTGTAGACACACCCTTGTTGTGGGGGCCTTTGCCGCTGTTCAATCGACGACCTTGTGACGTTCTCGTTCCCTTTGGCGGCCGCAAAAGCAATCTATGTGCATACAATATGTATATGGTACCCCCACCCCACCCCATGCATGGACCAAGGTGTTGCACAAATTCGCTGGTATGCGCGGTACATTTGGCCCTTTGTTCGATGTTGTTTTCTTATATTGCCACTTGGACCACGGTGGTGTTGCAATTGCTTCTCGAATTGTCGCGATACTTTATGTGCAAAGTCAGTCCGCTCGATCCTTTTGGCAGAGAGGGACTGATTGCGGAGTAGACTTCGTGGGAATCCCTCCGTTTTGAGCCAACCCAGGTCAAAAGGTAAGTCCAGGTTGCAAGCACTCTCCGCAGAGAGCAGGGTCTGGAGGTTGGGCAAAAAGATTTGCCATTGGGACTTGGGGTAAGGACCTTGCAACTCGGGAGGTGGCTGGGTGAGAAGAGTTCAGAGGCAGGGGTGTAGAGAAGGGCTCTGGCAAAGCCATGGAGAAATGCGCAACAACTAGCGTTGCATCCAGGAAGCAGTACAAAGACATTCTGAAGCGCAGCTTCGAATTTGAGCTAGAGCAGGGATCCCAGAAGGAGAGTTAAATGCTGGATTGCAGAAACTTACAGTTGCTCCACATGATTTCTTGAAGCCTTGACAGTAAAATTATGCCGCACAGCTCTCCAGAAAAAGGCTCATGATCACGATTTGGGGTTTGGGGAGCTTGCTGTGGGCTTCACGCCGTCAGCCGTGTGAGCCGTGTGAGATCCAAGTCGGGGGGTCTGCTTATGGGAAAAACCCGCGGTTGGCGGACAGGTCTGGAGTGGCGATTCCTTTCCTTCGATGCCCCGAGGGAGCCATCCTTCGCTTTCTGGGATTCGCTTCATAAGATGGCCGTGGTGGTCAAAACCGTTGTGGTTGATCCCATTTTGGGGTAGGTGAATTCACCACCCATTTTAGGCTTCCTATTTTTAGTGGTTGGATTGATTCGGATGTTCACTGGGGGTATGGGCTTTTGACCCATGGCCATGTGAGTAGATGTGACACGGCCCGAAGCCCCAAGCCCAACTTGGGCATTCAGTCAGACAAAAGGACCGAACATCACAAAAACATGCGTGTGTGTGTGTGTGTGTATTTTTGGTGGGGATTTCCTGATTTTTGTATATTTTTGGCCGGCCGAAAGACAAGGTCCCCCAGCTAGGTGCCCTTTTACCGTTTCTTTTTCGGGGGAGGGTGCCCCTACTAAAATCGACGACAGAAAAAAGAAACGGGGCCTTTATTCTAACCTCTCTACTGGAGAAGCTAGTTGGGGTTCTGGCAGACCCCATGGCAAAAGGGGTGGGCACCTCGTGTTTGCATCACCCCTTTTCTGGGAGTGGGCCAGGTGGGGGGGGGGGGGGGGCAGGAAGGCAGGACCTAGAAGAACTTCCAGCATTTTGGTTGCCTCTTTGAGACAACCCCCCCCCATCATTTTGGTTGCGGCCGAGGAGCTGCTGAGCCCGCGTCCGGAGATACATGTGGCCAGCTTCGAGCAGCCCGACGATGCCACGCTTGCGGCCGAGCTCTGTTTGAAGGAGCTGAGGGCTCTGAGGGGACCGGTCCAAACGCTTCCCCGGGCCAAACATGGCATTCCCCGCAAAAGCCTACTTCGATTTTGGGCCATGTTGTTTGGTGTTTCTTTTTTACTACGAGCAAAAAGGGCCAACTTTTCCTCAATACTGGAAAACTTGTACTGCACTTGGCAGGGATGTGTGCTTGCCACTGCCACTGTCAGCTGCGCCAGGCGCTGCTCGCCATGGTTTGCGTGTTTTTGGCCCTGGGATGGCAAAAGCAGCGTAGACGGAGCAACGGCTCGGGGGGCCTACCAAAATCAGGGGGCGTGGCTGTTTTGAATATGTTCTTTGGAAGATCCAAAGCACCTGGCTTCTGGGAAAAGGGGGACGGGCGGTGGTTGGGGGTCGAAAAGCCGTTGTTCCACAAAAAACAAGTGCACAAGTATGGGTCTTGGACAACTGCTAAAAGTCCAAGGCGGAAGTTGATTTAGGGAGAAGGGGGCGCCTACATGCTCCTTCGTGCAAGGGAAAGGGGTTGGGCGTTCCGGCCTTGCTGCCTGATTCGTGAGTTGGCCTTGGATTCGTTTCGTTTTCGTACATGCACAACTTGTGGTTCAGGACACTTGTGTTCCGCTGCGCAGCATACTTTGCAATCTGCAAAAGTCTGGGTGTGTCCTTTTTTCTGAGGCTATCCTTTTTTGAGTCGGTGCTAAAAGAAACATAAAAGAAACCACTCACAAACTATTTTGGGGGTTTCAGCGCAAGCGGGAAGACATGAGTGCGCGAGTGGCGGGTGACATGAGTGTGGGGCCAAAATGCCTTGGAGCCGAAAGATGTCGCTTGCAGTGCTTCCTGTGGACGCCGCAGGAAGCACAAAGCCAGCTTTTGACACTTCCCATCCCATGCTTCTGCCTTCTGAACTGCCTGCGCACTTGGGCTGACTCTGGGATCAGTCTGTTTGCTTGAGATGAACCTAGGCTTTCTGAGGGAAGCTAGTTCAGATGTAAATGCCGGCAGCAACACCAAGGGTGTAAGCCAAGCAAAAAAAACAGCAAAAAAATAGCATCATTGTTAAAACAAACAATTAAAGATACAAAAAACAAAATCGAAAAGCCGTACAAACCCAATAAAAAGCCTCATGAACCCACAAAACAATAATCAGAACAACATCCTAAAACCATGGCCCTCCGACTTGCTGCCAAGCTTGCTTTGACTCAGTTGTTCAGTGGTACCCTTTTGCCTTTTTTTTGGGCTGCCCCACTACAAATGGTCTTCCCAAGAAAAGGTTCCCTTTTTTTCCAGGGTCACTGAACAACTGAGTTGAAGACTGCATTGATGCATTCAATTTGTGCATGAGTTGTGCTTTTGCCCACCACGCGCAACAAACCAGATTGAGCCTTCAGCATTCCCATCCGACCATCACGTGGCCTGCTGCCGGAGTGCCGCGGCCCTTCTCCTTGACGCAGCTGATTGATATCACTTGCGGAGATGTTAAAACTAGAGCCAACTCCCGGATGGGCGATTTGATATTAGCTCCCTTTTCAAGAAGGCCCTTAGTTCTGGTAGCCGTGACAACCATCTTTTTTTGGATTTTGAAGGTGGCCACTTCATGTTTGCCCTGAATTCTCTTGAGCCATCACCGCCTAAGGGGACAAGCCCACCAACAGGTCCGGTGAGTCCCGGGAAGACACGGATGGTCTGGTTCGATGGCACGAAGCTAAGAAGGAAAACTGGATCCACGAGCAGACTGGGACTCACTTGGCACCATTCCCGCGTAGGAGCTGCGCTTGCTGATCCGGGATTTGGTGCCTCACGGGGAGGAGGTGTGGGAGGAATTGGCCCCTTGGCATGGTCAGATTGCTTGAAAATAGATGGATTCCACTGGTTTCAGTTTGGCGCTCTTCATTGAGTATCATCTAGTTGTCCAAAAAGCACATCTAGGGTTTCCCTGCCGGCCGCAGAGCCCATGGTGCTTGCTTCTTGGAACCTAGTTCCCCACTGGCAGGTGTTGGGAGCCATGTTCTGTCTCCCAGTTGCCTTCAAGAATTCCAATTTCTTAGCGCTGGGAGATGTTACGCAACGAATAGCACTGGGACGGAAAGGAGCAATCTTCTTCCAAGCAGTAGGGCGGATCCAATTGGGAAGCCCCTCGTTACTCGAGGAGGAGCGGCAGATTGTGCGATCGCCGCTCTCGACGAGCCGCCGCAACCCCCCCGACGATCCGCCGGAGCGGATATCCCCCCGCCAGCTTCTGGTTCGGCTGGACGACTTCTTAGCAAGGTGCGGGCGCCGAGGGCGCGGCGTGACCCGGGGCTTGAAGGGAGGCGCAGATGAAAGATTCAGCAATATACCGGAGGCGACTGGCTAAGAAATGACTTTGCAAACTGTTCAGGCAGAGGACGGCCTTATCTTCGAGATGTTTGCTCTGTGTAAGATGTTTTGCGTTGCGAGCACGGCCGTGTCACCAGCGCAAACATCATGGGTGTGTGTGTGTGTGTTTTGTTGGGACGTCCTCTCGTGCCTCTCGTCGTCCCGTGGCGTGCCTGTCAGGAATGGAGAGAGCTTGGGAGACGTAGCATAGGTGTCCTTTTGACTTTTGGGTTGTTTTGCTGGAAAATAGATGGCCCTGGTTGACCTGGTGGTTTAATCATCTACCAGGGATATCTATTTCCCCTAAAATGACACCTATGACAGGTACTCGTAGATGCACACAGATTGGATTCAGCCGTGGCATTTGTGACATCCGGGCATGCAGGTAAGTCTAAATGCGCCCGCCAAGCGAAAAAACGCCACCGCGCGGCCCCGGAGGCACGGAAGGTCCGATCTCGACTTCGTGCAGATACGACTTCTTCGCGCTGTGCTGTCTGACCGGCTGCAGAGACTGAAACGGATATGAGAAGGGCTCCCAAGGAAGTCCAGGGTAGCGTCAGATGATTCGCATCTTTCCTCCTGGCCATGTATTCCATGCATGCCATGTATGATGTGCCAGCCACTGCCCAAGGTCAAATCTTACCAATGGTGTTTTAAAAAATGCCTTGGGAGCACGGACAATGTTCCACCCACCAAGGGCTTTCACCATGCCTCGAACGTGCCTTTTCATGCCAGCGAGGCGTGATACAAGCCCAGCGTGCCTTGGTCGTTCCTCGTAGGTGCCCGTGGCAGAAGTGAAATGATGTTTCAGGTGTCGCTTGGAGAGGTCTGTTGTTATTGTATGTTGCCGGCAATCCGCTGATGCCCATGAAAGGCTTGAGTTGCTTTTTCGCTTGGCCTGACCCTCCTCTCGGCTTCCGTGCCGAGAGGAGACCTCCTCAGGCAAACCGAGCGAGGGCACCACACCGGAGCTCGCCCAGGAAGTTTGCTTGGCAAGTTGCCCATTGTATGCTGGCTTTAAGAGGGATGGGTATATGTGGCCCCTCCATTTGGCGCCCAGTTGGGGAAGCCCTTGGTTGCAATTGGCCGGTGCTGTGGCGAGCCCCGGATGGCAGTCCTAGAGCGAGAATGAGGCGGCGCAATTCGCTCAAAACAAGGCGGCTGCGGCTCAGTTTCTATATGGGCGTGTAGCGCTAAGCGAGTACGAACGGAATTCAACTGTTCATTGCTCATTACCGTAGAGCTCAACGCTCAACACGTCACTTGGACAACGCTGACTCGTTTGGGTCGAATGCAACATGTGCATCATGGCGGGCAAAACCTCATGATAGGCTTTGCGCTTCGGAGACCCGCCCTGCGATAGTGCTATCATCATGCGGGTGTGAATTCTATTCGGGGGCCCTTTGGTGCACATCATTTCGGCGGCCTCAGCTACCCAAGGCTTTTGAGCTGAAATGGCCTTTGGTTTTCCCATGTTGGTCCACTTTTAGTAATCCCAAGAAAGGTGATCACCTTGTATATCTGACTGAGTGGGGATTCATGCTTAGCTGGAGTCTCCATGACCCTTAAAAAATGGGGTCATTACCCAAAATTATGGGGTCATAGACCCATTTTTTATTCGGGTCATGGAGACTCTAGGCACCCGCTTTTGGGATTTCATGGGGGTTTGGAGGGAGGGGGAGGTGGAGGGAGCCCAAATAAGCCAAATAAGCCCTTAAGGCCTTATTTTAGGGGCCCCAAAAAAGGCCCCCTTATTTTAGGCCCCCTTATTTAGGCTCCCTTTTCCCCAAAAAGGCCCCCGAATGTCTGATCCGTGTCCCGAGAACTTTCCGGCTTTCAGGTGGCCGGAGCTGGGCCTCGAGGAGCGCCTGCAGGCGGTTTGGGAGCACGTGCTCACTCAGCAGCAGGAGCAGACCAGGTGGGCAAAGCCAAGGGGCGCAAGATTGAAGAGCTAGGGTCACACAGGGCTCCTTAAATGATATATCCATGTTGCGTCACCATTTGAAGCAGGTGGCTGTTTCCTTCCACCAAAATAAAGGGACACCACCATTGACAAGTTGCAATGTTCAGGTGTATAATGTAAGGATCCCGGTTACAGCGGGTGTTCGTCTTGGGTTCCATTTGCCACGGGTGCTATTTTGGTACATGTGAGCCACAGCCACCTGGACAAATGGGTTGGTCCAGACGATCGCCCCATCTCCCGATTGGAAGCTCCAGCACTTTGCCGACAGAGCACTGTCGCCAAGTTCGGGGTTACGTGCTTTGAACATGATGCCGGCAATGTCTCCTTTTGCCATCGCACTGTCTCAAGCCTGTCTTGACGTTCTTAGCAGTGAGGCCCGGACGGCTTGCCAGCGCTATCAAGTCAGATGCAAAGGAAGACACGATGAGACAAGGTACACATAGAGGACAACGGGAGACCTGGCACCCACAAATTGGATCATTTTCCAGGGCGCATTGGCACGCCAGGCGCGAGGAGGAAGTGGCCCGACTCAGCAAGCTGCTGACGCAACAGCGCCTGGATAAGGATCTGAAGCCCAACTGCTGGAGCAGCTCGGACAGCTTTGCCATCAACTCAAGTACTTCAGCTGTTGGATCAAATGAATACATGCTTTGTTAGGTAGCCCTTCAAGGTGGGGTTGATGTGTTTGGGCTTGACCCTGGTTGCCCATAGCAGGGGGTAAACCAAGTTTATATGAATGAGGGGAGGGATCTTGTGAGCTTTGGGGAAAGAAGAGCTGAATGGTTCCTTGGCACCAGCACCCGACCATTCTTTGAGACTTGTGGGAACCACGACTGGCTGCGGGTCAAAACCAATGGCACCATTTTGGGGTAGGTGCACCACGCATCCTAGAACCTATGTTAGTCGTTGGATTGCGATCTGGCTTTTGACCCATGGCCAAGTCTCGAGGACAACCTTTGGTGACCCAATTTGGGGCCCTGAGGGCTGGACACTGTGGCAAGCACCGATCACGGGATGGTTCTTGGCCCAGGCTGCGACCAGTTGCTGCTGGACTTGGATGCCTTGCTGCGGGCCTTGCAGCGGATTTGCTTGGCGCTGAGAGGCTCGGGGGCCTGGACAGGGGGGGTGCAACAGTGGGCGGCCTTGTTGGTGGGAGTTCTGTTAGAAACAGATGGCAGTTCAGTGGAAGAACTGTTCTTTCTTTTTTTGGGTGAGTTCTGTTCGAAAACCAGATCACACCTTCAGTTTGGTTCCCATCAAGCGGCATCAAGCTGCCCAAACGGACACCGGTGGGTATGGCATGGGTGTTTTCCACTTGGGGGGGGCCCTTGCAGGGCTGGTCCCCAGTTTTCGGAGACAGCCGCTAGCAATTGCCATTGTTATTGGTCTTACTAATTTTGAAAAGTAGGCTGAGAGTTTGCCTCGCTTGGGTTTGTTCAAGCCAAGGAAGTCATGTTATAAACACTGATGCTGGTGGGCAATAGGGCGGTCTAGCTTGTGGCATTCAATCGCAGAAACCAACCATTCTTCCTTCTGAGCTGCCGGACCTTCGCAAATCATCCTGACAGCGTGCGTTTGCCGGGCGCTCTAGGAATTAAAATGCCAGAGTCGCAGTGTCAATAGGCACGTTCAATCTGAAGCGTTGAGCCCCAGGGCGCAGTCCAACTTGGCAACATTGTTTTGTTTTTTTTCTCCACGGGTAGAGGTCAAACAGCAAGATGGATATGGGTCAAAATAAACTACTAGGGGACCGCAGGTTTTAGTCCATGTGTTCATTTACCAGGTTTGGGTACCTATGTTTGACCCACAGATGATCTTTACGTGGGGGGTGTCCGCTGTGAATCACCGGAAAATCCTTCGGCTCCGGCCTCGATCCGCTTGTCGCAATGTGAGGCGAGGCGAAAGAGCCTTTGCGCTCGGAGCGGCTGGTGGCCAAGGCGAACCAGCTGCGAGGGGGAGGGAACATGGTGGTTGTTGGGAAGCATTTCTTCCATTTTTGATCTTATTGTGGGCTGAGTGGCAAATCCATTTTACATTTTTGCTTATTGCGGTTGAGTGGTTGGAGTCCAACCACTGAACTGCTAAAATTCAACTGTTTTGCTCCCCTTCCAACGTCAAGGGAATGACTTAGCGCGGGTTGGCCATGAAATCCGTTTTCGGGGCTTGCCTTAAAACAGGGCTCCTTGAAAGATCTCCATTTTGCAACCATTCGAAACATGCCTAGCTTGTTCAACAAACCAAAGTAAAAAGTTGGAGACCACCATTTACAAGTTGCAATGTTCAGGTGTATTTTGTAAGGATCCCTGTTAAAGGAATTCTTGGGGCTTGCTTTTCTTGAGGTCGTTTCCTGAGACAATTTTCCCCTTTCGGATGTTGCCGGCGGGGATTGCGAAAAGGCGGGGGCACCCAGAAAGCTCAGCCCTCAGATTCTCACTTTTCCTTGGCCTGTGTTTTTCCCGTTCCTTAGTTGAAGCAACTAGTGACTATTGGTTGAATAGTAAGAGAGGTTTGATTTTTTGAGGGGCGCCGCGGCGCTGCGTGCGTCACGGTAGCTCTTCAAGGTGCTGTGCTTCACATGCAGGGCTTGACTCTGCGCCCTCGGGGGATTGCATCTTCGGTTATCTCTACGGGCCCCTTGTTCATACCCATTGGCTTCCGTGGTTTCCAGCCCACTTTATAAGGGGTATATACCCCTTTTGGGGAGAGAGGTATGAACATCAGCAGGCCTTTTGGGTTCATTTGTAGGGGTATGTCAAAGGGGTATGTACCTTGGCACCCCTGGATTGTCAAGGTTTGGACGATCTCAAGCGCCCAAGCGCCCCGGCAGATCGCCTCCACTTTGACGGCCACGGTCAATGAGATTGAGGAGTCTGGCGGCCAGGTTCCTTGGATGCGAGGGGTGCATGCCATGCGGGGCGCCCGAATTGCAGTCGGGCAGCTTCCACCTTGATATGACCTGCTGACATGCCATCTCCCACTTTTGGGAGACTCAGGCAATGTGAATGTGCCAAATCACACCTGTGCAGGCCAAGTTTCTCAAGTATGTGCTATCCAAGGCTACTCCGGAGATCAAGGAATTGGCGGCTTACTTGGCGTCTTGGCTACGGTTGCTACTCAGGTCTGTCGTTGCATGCTCCACTGAAAGCAGAGCTGGCTGAAGGTGTTCCTGTCAAGCTGAATTCAGTACGGAGTTCAATTTTCTTGTCTCTTGGTTGGGCAATTGGCAGCACATGGTTTTGCACACCGTTCTATGCCACCGAGCCGGCCATTTAGCAGGTGTGGGATTTGTTTCTTTGGTTGGCTGCACTGATTTGAACCGCCACGCCGTGGATCTTCGGCTGCAACACACTCCCACTGCAACAAAGCATTGAGCAGCCGCTAATTTACGGCTGGGGCCGTCAATGCATTCCTAGCGACAAGAGGCAGGTTGGCTGTCCGCAGGGTCTTCCACCTGCTCTCTCAAATGTGTCATTTCCCCCCTGTTGGTCTTAAAGGCAATCTATCACTACCGGACGATTCCACCCACCCCTTATCACTCTTGGGAAATATGGCCAGGGTTAAACTCCCGTACCCCCAGTAAACATCCCGATCCCCACTACAATAGGTTCTAAAGCGGGTGTTGGGTTCACCTACCAACCAAAATGGGATCTCAAAACGGTTTTTTGACCACCACGGCAATAGTTAGTTTTTTTCCCAGGCTGGAGCAAATGGAAGTCGTTGGCCAAGGGTTCTTTGCCTCGCCTGCTCCGGGTTTGCAGGCCTGGGTCTCCCTGCACTCCGGCCGGCGCTTCTGAGCGTCCAGGACGGGGTGCGGGGGTGGGTGAGGCAGGTGAGTCTGAAGAATGGCACAAAAGAGGGGCGGGTGAGAAGAGGTTGTTGCTGAACTGGATGGATATGTTGGTTGAAAAGAGACTTGGTTGCAGATCAATTGTCCAACCCGTGGCAGTGATGCAGAGGGGTGAAAGTACAGAGGCATCCCCTGTCGAGCTCAAGCTGAGTAGCGTTTTGACAACGAAAGCCCTGAATGCAAGACGCCGGCGCCGTCTGAAGATGTCCGAAGCACCACTATATCAGGAAGTTCTCAAGTTGAAAGTTGCAATATCGGCTCTTGATTCTGTTGGGCTTGAGGATTGCAACGTTTCCAGCGCATGTCCGATGTAGGTCATGGCCAAACTGGTGGTTTGTATGCTTGGTGCTCCATAGTGTGTCGAACACCTCGCTGGCTTCATCCTTTTGCATTCCAAGTTGAGTGGTGCCCGATGCCGCTCATCTTGCTGTGGCCTTGCTGGGTCAGGTCTTGCTCAGGCCGGAAGGAGGAAACCCCAGAGAAGAGGGAGCATGTCCTACAAATGCGAAAGTCGCGGAGTGCTTTACGAGCATCGCCCCATCCCAACCCCCCTCAAAAATGGAATTGGGGGAGGGGGGTGACGCCTGGAATTCCATGTGTGGTTCCATTTTCCCTTTTATGGGGAAGACTAGATAAATGGAATTGGGGACCCCCCCACCCCCCTTCCCCTTAAGGTAGGGGGGATATCGCCCCAGGGGTTTCTGGGCACTGGTCATAGCTTTCTTCGCCAGGTCTCCGCCCAGCTCTGAGGGCGTGCAAAATGTGAGTCAGGTACTGCACGACATGCTTGGACAGTGCCGAATTCAAACCACAGGCATGTTCGCGTGATATGGCGTGGGTAAGCTTTCTGCGTTGCAGGGAGTTATTGTTTTCCACGCTCTCATGTCATGGTCTTTCGCAGGTCCGGAACTTGCAGCGCACGTCCCGGGCCCTGATTCAAATGGGATTGGAACACCAGCTGGGTGCAACCTGCATCGTCCGTTTGCCCATGCTTTCGGCAGAATTGATTCGAATGAATTTCTGCCGGGAACAGTTGGACGGCTGTGCTGGGGTTGGGACAAAAGCACGTGGCGGAGGGGGGGGGGCCTGAGAGGACTTGCACAGCTGCAGTTTGCAGGGCCCGTTTCACAAAGCGTTGAGTAACATAGTCGCCATGCACATCTATGCTTTGGTGCATTTTGCCAAGGGATGTTAGGACTCTAACTGTTTGCCAACTAATGGAGTTTCCATCAAACCACTCAAAGTTAAGCTTTTAGCAGGGGAGCAGAAAGCAACCGAGTATGTGCTATGGTCAAAGGACAACTTTACAACCCTGGGCTCCAGATACCTTCATGAGGCACGGCTTGGTGTAGGTCGCACTGGCTGACGAAGAGAGACGTGACAGGAACAACATGATCTCTGTCGAGAGCTTCAAAAGAGCCCGCTCATCTCGTAGATTTACATCGTGCTCACGTCTAGGATTTTTTCACCGCGGCCTACAGCTTTGGAAGTCGATTCCACCGTGGGATACTCACCTCATGGGCGCGTCAGTCATTGTGCGTTTGCTTCCATGTGCTCCCCTTGCGCGTTGGCTAAGCGCTTTGTAGTGACCCAGGGTCAAACCACGCCGGGTGACCTGCAGCTATGGCTGTCCTGGATGACATGGGCATGAGACCCATGACGTGCATCACCTGAGGGTGTCTGTTCTTTTGGAACGCGTGAGGTCAATGACAACTTTACCTGAGCTCAAGTTGAAGGGATTGACCATGATGCTCCCTGGCCTTCGCAGAAAGGCTGATTACCCAAGTTGAAGACCTTGTCAATTGAGGAAAGCACCAATCCAAACGCCACTTTACTTGACATCGCTGATCCAGATTGTTTTGGCTCATATAATGGCGCAGGAACCTGCAGGGGGCATGAAGTTCATTCTGCAAATGCCTTTAAACGCCATGACATTGGCAGAGACTTGGTCTAACATGTCAGTCCTTTACGCAACCACTTGTGCCTTGCCTGTTTACATGTGCCATGTTCTTCTGGTCCTTTGGTCCTTTGGGTCTAGAGCCACAAACGAGGAGTGGAAACCTGGAGACAACCCCATATTTGCTTGCATTGGTTGACGCATTTGTCGGCAGTGAGAGCCCGGCTGCCGGATGGGCAGCCGAAGCAGCCGCCCGCCTGATGAAGAAGAGGTGGCGCCAAAGCCGTCCTTGCGGCAGAGCTCCATTCATCCAGCGAGGTCATTCTCCCTTGTGAGGCTGGGGTGCCCAAAAAAACAAATGGACATCCACTTGAAGACAGCTATTAGGGTTGAATCCTCCGCTGCATTTCTCAGTGACTCGCACGTGGCACAAGAATGCGGGCGGAATCATTGCCAGTTCACATCAGAAGAAAAACTGCCAAGGGATGGTTCGGCCGCCTGCCTCAGCTCTGCATGGCCCATGGTCAGCTTCCCTCAAATGAAACCAAACCGAAAAACAGGCTCGTTCCTCATTTTCCTTTGGCGACCTTCTCCAATGCCACAAGAGCCCTCGACCACTCCCCCAACCGCGGCGCTGTGAGGTCCTTCTCCTCCCTGGACATCACCGGGCGCTTTGCGGACCGAGCAGCGGAGACGGAGGAGTTCCTCCTGCAGGTGCCGCTGCTGAAGTGTTTGCCCAGAGCCCCTCGGCGCTGCCTTGGGTGGGTGTGGAAGGGGGGGGCTTTGACTACTGCGTCTTGACTGCTATTGGGTTGGATCTTTAGACTTTAACCTTTTGCGAAATAAATGTGTTTTCCGCAAAACCCCCAAAAAGTAAAACTTCTTGCAGGGGGGTCAACAGCAACCAAGTGTGTGACGCAAAGAACCCTTTCAAGTGGCCATAGCATAGGCCTGGAGCTAGCAAGCGGCCATCCGCACGTCATTCTCGGGTGCAGGGTGCAGAAGTTGCTCTCCGCAAAGGATTTTTGCCGCAGCTCTCACAAAATCTAATCCCCAGTCAGTGGCAGGAGAGAAACATGTTTGGCCAAGGCTTTCAATTGCTCGCATTTTGGCACAGCCTGAAGTTCAATTAGCGGCAAGTAGAAAGTCCTTGGGGTATTGATGAGGGACTGCTTGTGGGCAAGGGCAGGGTGTACCCCGTGCATCTCATTTTCTGATTGTGCGTTAGGATGCCTCGGATCCCTCGGGCGGCGAAGCTTCACTGACGCAAGGCCAAAGTCAGCCAGTTGGCCGAATGCGTGGCGTCAAAGAAGTTCGTTGCCAATGCAACCGCCAGGGCCTTGGGTTGTTCTGGCAGCTGCGTATCCCCCAGACATGGATTTATGAGGCGTCCACTGTCCGATTTTTGAGGCACAGATCTTTGCAAGTCTGACTTGCTGTAAACTTGCATGCCGCAAGTGCGCCGTTGTGTTTGTCGCTTGCTTCGGGTTTTTTTCGGCTTCTTGACTGCTTTTGCGTTTCTTCCTCTCTTTTTTTCGCCACTCGTCTCCGAGTCGATTCTTCTTTCGCCATGTCGTCTCTCCTTGGTTGCCATCAGTCAGGTCTTCAACCAGGGGGACGAAGGGGAGTCCTTCTTCATCATCCGCAGCGGCACGGCGCTGGTGCTCAAGCTGCTCGAGGAGGGCACCGAGGAGGAGGACTTGCATCGATGCGAGGGAATGGCCAGGGGAAAGCACCCAGAATTAGCTCCCCTTGTTGCCTTCTTTTTTGCTTTTTTGCTTTTTTCCCTTTGTGTTCCACTCACCAGGCAAAAAAGATATTTTTTGGCTGGGGTTCTAATTCCAGCCTAGGGGAAAGGTGTTTTTAAAAACATATTTGTTTTCTGGACTGCTATTGGGATGGATCTTTAACTTTTTGAGAAATTAAGGTGTTTTCAGTTAAACCCCCAGGAAGTGAGAAACTGGTTGCAGGGGGTCAAGAGCAACCAAGTTTGGAACTATGTGGGGTTCTCCCCCCTTCGGGATCCCAGGGTGTGATAGGACAGTTGGCTTCGACCAGTGGGCTGGGTTGTCTTTAGCCGCGATGTGGTTTTTCTGGAAAAGACTCCATGACACATACCCAGAATCATGTAGCGCAGTGCAAAGGCAAGCTGGACAGCGATGATAAGATGCACCAGGTGTTTTGCGACCGCGCTGTTCAGCAAAGCGGTAGTTGACAAAGCAAAGCTCTGCTTTGCCCCTGCACGCGTGAAGGCAAACATTTTGTGCAGCTACCTAAAGCTGGAGCTCAGTGGGCCTCCATGCCAGCCCCCCGCACGAAGATTTTTCATCGGAGGGGCGGCTTTTCTGAAGATGGGGCAAGTTGCGTTGGACATATCACCATGCAGCTCTCTGGGAGCTGGGAAGGTCGCACCAAGAGCCTTCAGGTGAAAGAGCGGGGGCCATAGCTGCAACAAGGCGATTCGAGTGGAGACTGGCATACAAGACAAGAAGACACCCCCACCAACTCAGCTGAACCGTCCCTGGGAGAACTCCCCACTCAGCTAGTTCTCTAGGAGATGGCGCGACTAAAGAAGGGCGACTTCTTCGGTGAGCGCGCGCTGCTCACCTTGGACTTCCGGGCCGCCACTGTACGCGCCGAGACCAACCTAGAGGCCTTCGGATGGGGGGCTCTTCTTCACCGTAGGCATCGGTAACCTTTTCCTTACTTGCCCAAAGCCGACCTTTTGACCTTTGCGTTTTCCGGGCCTGGTCTATTTTTAGTCATGACCCCAAAAGGTTAACCTTTTTTTTCCAGGTCCTTTGGGCAAGTGAGTTTCAGGTTTGTTCGTAGATGGCGCTGGCCTTTTTTTGGGTTCTAATCATTTACCAGTCAACTTTTTCCAAAAGGACCCCTATAGGCCCATGGTAAGCCGGACTTGAACGGAGTGATTTCCATGCCGAGAGGTGAGACGAAGGCCGACAAGTTCCAGCATAAAAAGATTTGACCGGGAAATGCCTGAAGAGCGTGCTTTGAAGAAGGCATCCAAATGGAAACTCGTAGCGGTCAAGGGACAGGCTTTGTGGTTCGTGTCACGTCGCTGAGCCGTGAAAAGCTTGCGGGTGGGCCCAATCAAGGAACAGATTCGCCACTTCTCGATTTAGCGATCGCGAAATCGCAAGCTTCAGGTCCTCGGCTATTTGGGCGGTCACAGTTGAACAATCCCGCTTTTCAGGGGTTGTGTTCCTTTTAACTTCCTCTTCGGGCGTGGTGCATGAGAATTCTATGGCCAATACATTTGGCTCAAGGCTGATCGCGCACCTTATCAGCAGTCACAACGGCTGAAGAGGAGAGGCCCACCCGCACCCGAGGCATCAGGTCGGGAAAAGGGGCGAGGAGGCGCCGCGAAGCCTTTGTCTCCCATAGGGTGGCGGAAGGGACTCCGAGGGAAGAAGTTCAGGTGGTCCACGCAGACGGATCAAGCAGACCGTTGGGCACAAGCTCTTCCTGTGGGGTGAGACTCAAGAGGATTTTGAGGTGGTCGAAATCGAAGACGCGGAGGTAGCCCCAGCTGCAGGAGGATTAGCGGATTCGGAGGAATTTGCTGTTGATTGGGAAAAGGAGGTGAACTTCTTGTCTCATCATCATCAAGGCGGGGACTACCAATTTCTGACAATTCTGCAAGCTCAGGAGCCCACACGCAGCAGTTTTCGACTCAATCAGCAGATACATTTCCCTGGCGGTTGCCTTTGCCTCCGCCTGAAGAGCCTCCTCCTATTGAGCCTGTTGGCACACCGGAGTCTTGGTCATCATCAGTGCCTGAGGGTGAAGCGCCGGGAAGCAGTCAACACGTGGCTGCACCTCCATCTCGCACTTTGCGACCTTCAAGGAGCAGAAAGCTTTTGGAACAGGAAGCTGCAGCGAGTGAGGGCGAACCTGCGACCTCTTCCTTCAGGGCATCTCAACTTTAGAGCCTCCGGCTCAGTCCGCCGACATTGTCCTCCCCCTTTTCTCCTTCTTCCTCTCTCCCTTGTCTCCCTCGTGCGTTGCGTCGTCCTCTCTCCCTCCCTCTGCTCCCCATTCTCCCCATCCCCCCAAGCCTCTCTCTCCTCAATCTCCCTCTCTGTCTCTCTCTCTCTCTCTCTCTCTCGCTCTATCTCTCTCTCTCTCTCTCTCTCTCTCTCTCGCTGTCTCTGTTTCTCGATCTCTTTCTGTCTCCCTGTCTCCTTCCTGTCCACGCTCCTGTACAGACAAAGGGTACCCTAATTCGAACCTCTCTACTCTCTCACTTTGTCGCTCTTTCTCTCTCTCTCTCTCTCTGCCTTTCTGTGTCCCTCTTTCTCAGTCTCTGTCTTTCTCTCTCTCTCTCTCTGTCTCTCTCTCTCTCTCTCTCTCTATCTGTCTGTCTGTCTGTTTCTCTGTTTCTCGGATTCTGGCTCTGTCTCTGGCTCTGTGTCTGTCTCTCTCTCTCTCTCTCTCTCTTTCTCACTCTCTGTGTCTCGCCCTCTCCCTCTCTCTTTTTTTCTTTCTCTCTCTCTCTCTCTCTCTCTCTCTCTGTCTCTCTCCTCTCTCTCTCCCGCTCTCTCCCTCTCTCTCTCTCTCTCTCTCTGCGTTGCAGCGTCGCGTCCCCCCTGAGTTGCCTCGTGTCCGGGCACTGCCCCTGCATGACCCTGAACTGTCATCTCACTTTTGGCTTTCCCCCTGCATGTCCTTTTCACGTTTTCCATGATGTCCTGGTCCTGTCCCTTCCATGCCGTTCAACCCCGGCCCAGAGATTCTCAAAGCAGTTCATGACTTGGGATGGGTGCCAGATACGAGTCTTCCGGCCCGCTGGCCTCGCAATTCTACATTGGAGCGCGACATGAGAAGCTTTGAGGAGACTGTCCGTTGTGTGCACAGGGTTCCGAGTTTGGTGGCCCGTTGCATGCCCTTGGGCGGTTGGTGTTCTATCGCAATAAGACAGGTGGAAAGTTTGACCCGAATGCTGCACCAGGCTTATTTGCCGGGTGGCGAATTGAACTTGGCCTTAGGTACCGAGAGGTTGCTCTTGTTTTGAACCACGAAAGCCTCCGATCAAGAACCGGTGCCTGGGCCACGCCCATCGACGTTCCGGAAGTTGAGCTTGTTGTTCCTTCTGGTGATCCAATCTACCCTCTAAAGAGGGCGGCAGATCGTGCGCTTCATGACTTCCAGTCTCCCACTAGGCCTGAGGCGGTGGAACCTCTGCCTTTGCCGTTCAACGATTGTGATCAAGTCAGTGTCAAGGGTAAGAGGATTTACATTACTCAGCGTAGGTTGCTTGAATTAGGCCCCACTCCCGACTGCCGAGGTTGTGAAGCTGCAACATACAATCATTCAACAGAATGTGTGCAACGCTTTGAAGATGCTTTCGCACATGAGCGACCTCCCAAGGTTGGTCCTCCCGCTATATAAGACCTGTTGATTGTGCTGACGTCGACGAAGCTTGTAAAAGCATTGTAGATGCTCATCACCTGCCGGAAGCGTCAGTTGAGATTTGTTTTCCTGACGTTGATGTAATCGACCCCTACGTGCCACTTGAGCCTACGCCTCTTGATCATGACATGCTCCCGGCTCTTGAAGATCCGGATGATCTTGTAGGTGAAGACCCTGCCAGCAGTGGGTATTCGCCCAGCTTTGACCCTGCGGCAGTCGATGACTTGCCTGAATCATTCCTTTCGGATACTGAGCCCTGTGAGGTCAGTTCTGATGACGAAGTCGTCGCACTGCCTGCCCCTGCTGTGATCATTTCAGGTGTTGATGCTTCTCGTGCCGTCTATCATGACATGGAGACCTTAGGTTTGCCAGCCTCATTAGTGAAAGGCATGTCCATCCGAGGAATATCGAGTGACCCTCCGGGTCACCGAATTAGTTTTGTTGCTCCGCCGAGTCAGCTTTGGGTTCTGTTGGAAAGGAGCTTGGCATCAAGGTTGTCCGACTGCACAAGGATGGCATTGACCTCAGTAGTTCAGAAGCCATTGAGCAATTAAGCTATCAGATTACGGCTGTGCCTGGAAGCTCGATCCATGGTAGTTTGGAATGTACTGCCTGGTCTCAATGGCAACGCCTGAATTACTTTAAATACCCTGAGATGCGCGACTGTTTGAATCGGTCTAGGAAAGCGTCAAGAAATATGCTTCAATCCTTTGTGCAGGTGTCAGAAATTATCCTCGCATTGGGTGGAGATGTCTCTTTCGAATGGCCGCGCTTTTGTGCTGGCTGGGCGCTTCCTGAACTCACAAAGTGGATCAACCGCCATCAGCTGTTCTCAATAACTTGTGATGGTTGCATGCTGGGAGTTGCCTTTAAAGGCAAACCGTGCAAGAAGCCTTGGCGTATTGTTACATCGTCGAAGCGACTTGCTGAAACACTGTCACAGCACCAGTGCAACCATGAGCGAGGAGAACATACTCCCATTCAAGGGAGTGTCACACGCCAATCAGGAGTTTTCCCTCCGAAAATGGTGATCTTGGAAGCCATCTTTCCATGGAAATACATTTCATCCATGCCCTGTAAGCCCTTGCCAGTGGGTTCGCAGCAGCATCGGCAGCCGCATGCCTTGCCGTGCCTTCCTATTGACACTGCAATGTATGAAGCCGAAGTTGACCAGGTACCCGTGCTTGGAGGAGTTCATAAGCTCCTGGATCGCAGGTCTGGAAATCCGGGTGCTCTTGCAGCTGTCCAATCAGAAAAAGCAGGAATCCTTGCAGAAGGCACATGGGAGGAAGATAGTATCATTCCCCTCTTGGCCCGGGCAAAGCGCAAAAAGGTTGAAATCCATGTTGGGTCACTAATGGTGATTGTCTCCGTAAAACACTTTGAGAGACATCCCTCTGAGTGCACCCTGAAGGCAAGAATTGTGTTTCGTGGAGACGCAGTGAAAAATCAAGAAGGTTTGAGCGCTGTGTTTGATGAGCTGGCTGCATCAGCACCGTCTTCAATTGCAGGGCTCAACTTCGTAATCGCGTGGGGACAGGCGCCAGGGCATAAATGCTCCACCGCTGACGCGGTAAAGGCCTTCATACATCTCCACTCGCGTTGAAACATTGGTGATCTTACCACCAGAATTAGTGCCACGAAAGTTTTCTCATGTGGTACGACCATTTGCCGCTCAGTGGTGAAGACTCTCGACATGCCAGTTCCTGGCTGGAATTTGGGAAACGAGTAAAACTCAAACAGCCCATGCCTTTGACTATCGTCTTAGGACGATCTCATCAGAAAGTGACTTGGAAAGGTAAGGAAGCTTACGCGTTTCAAGCCGCAGATTTCGCTCAGCAATGCGTAGAGAGATCCAAGGAGCTAACAGACATGCCAGTGCGCGCTGCTAGCACCCCGCATCTAGAAGATGGTTCATTCAGCCCAGAGGATCTCACTGCCAGGGGGGAACTCTTAGGCAGTGCTGCGAAGATTGTCATGAAGTTGTTGTGGCTTGCTCGGCTATGCCGGCCAGATTTGCAAGTGAGCATTAACTTGCTGGGAGCTCATGTGACTATGTGGAGTAAGGCCGATGACAGGCGCCTCGCCCGCTTGATAGGTTATTTGAGTCGCACCACCACTTATGCCTTGCATTCCTTCATGCACGACCCTCTGGAGAGCTTGCGCTTGTCCTGTTGGGTGGACGCGAGTTTTGGTGACTGTGTGAGCACCATGAGCCCTTGAAGCCGAAAACTCTTTCCTTCCTCTAGTGTGGGTGAGCCGAAAGCAGACTGTCACTAGCCGATCGACGACCAATTACAATCTGGATTACATTGTGACAACTGAGCAGAAGAGAGACATCTTGACGAAGGCACTCGGCCCTCAGAAGTGGGGCGCTGCCCTCGGCTTGATCCATGTTGGGGATGTTCCGCAGTCAAAGCACGAATGAACACCTCACCGGCCCGCGCCCTGTTTGGCTGCTTCGAGCGCCTCAGGCTGTGAAGTGGACACAATTAAATTTCACGTGAAGTGAATTGCAAGATAATGCTTGGCTTTCACTAGGTCGTTGCTAGCCACCCTTGTGTCGCCAGGTCGAACCTTTTGTGCCTTGATTTGCATTGCAGCAAAGAAACTTGTGTGTCCTTGGAATCAGGGGGGCATTATTGCCCTAAAACCGCTGTCCTTTTGGGATGACCGGACATGCCGCACTTGAGCATTGCCAAATCTTTGACAAGCATAATTGAATGCAAAGTGTACCACTAGGCTTTGAATACCTTCGCCTAAATACATCCGTGCAGCATTTGACGGTGAGCTGTTGTTCCCGCTTGAGTGCCGTGCATCGTCGTGGCCTTGTGTCTCTGCTTCTCAATTCCTTGATATGCTGGTTTGATGCTTATGGCTAGCTAGCAACTTGAGAGTGTGCCACATGCCTGAATCATGAATTCGATTCACATCATTAATTCGAGAATTGTCGTTTGGTCGCCTTTCTAAGAATGCAAGGGATTTGCTGCGACCCGATCTGCACCAACCCAAATCACAAGAGGGGGGAGTTGAACAAACCCGCTTTTCAGGGGTTGTGTTCCTTTTAACTTCCTCTTCGGGTGTGGTGCATGAGAATTCTATGGCCAACACATTTGGCTCAAGGCTGAGAAAAGCTTGTTTGCACTCGCCGGCGCCATTGCTTGATTCACTTGAATCACTTGTGCTTTGGGCATTTCAACTGTCACAAACCTTTTCCGAAGCCGATGGGAGGGTTCCGTGAGATGTCCAAGGGCTGAAGATGCGGACGGGTGCGGTGCGATGATTTCCCCCCCCCCCCCCTCCCCCCTCGCGTCTAAGTTTCTCTCAAGCCATTCGCATGTTTGCCTTGATGCTCGGAAGGCAAGCGACAGCTGAAATTATGAATGCCGCAGATGCCAAGCTGTCCCCGCCGAACATATAAGTATAGATGGACGTATAGAATATATAGAGTTAGCTTTATGTATATACGCCAAGCTCAATCCCTACAAGCAAGGACGCCATTTGCCAAACGCCATTGACATCATCATCTGGGGCACTGGCTTTTCTCTTGGCCAAGGAAGGGATTGAGTCAGACCAAGGGCCAAGGGTTGCCTCAGGTCTTGGAGATCACCAAGCATCAGTTTGACGAGATGGGCCTGCGGGAGGATGGGGGCACAGAGAAAGACCGATGCGGTTTGCTCGCCTGGCACCGATCATGTTCTATGCTTCACTCACGCCCCCCCCCTTGCCAAAAAAGAAAGTGGAAGCTCTACGCCGTCCACTCTTCAGCTCCGGCATCAGGAGCTGGACTTCCGAGGGCGCAAGGCCATCCTGGTGGAGCAGCTGGTGGCTTTGAAGGAGCCCACGGAGAAGACCCCGCCACTCGCTGGGATCGCTGGGAACTCGTTTTGGTGCCCGTTTCCCGAAACGGGGGGAGCGCGGGGTCTACGGTCCACGTCCACTCTCCCCCCTTGAGCCGGGGGGGGCCCTTTAAAAAGGCAAACACGGAAGCAAGCGTGAAAGAAAAGTCGGTGGAAAAGGCTGAAGAGCCATTCTCGCGAGCCGTTTTGCACCGTCGGTTCGGTTTGCAAAGTCCAAGGCAAGCCGAATGTTTCCTCGTTCCCAACCTTCCCCGATGGCGAGCAACAGATCGAGGTCTCTGGTATCCCCGATATATGCCTGTATGTACTTGTTTTTTTCTCGGTGGCTCCCAGCCATCCCCTTAGCTTCTTAGCGTTTTAGTGCTTCGTGGTAGTTTCCATTCGACCCACTAAAAGTTAGTCACATTTGGCGGGGGATCTGAGGGTAGCCCAGTTTTGCAAATGCACTCCGGTATGGCATTTGCCTTAGGCAAGAGATCAAGTTCATCATGGACAGCGTGGCCAAGAACCTCGTCAGGATGTGATGACTTGGGCCATGTGCCACATGTGTCCCTCTCCAGGCCCGGAGCACGTCATTGAGGGGCCATGTCCTTGCTGCGAGAAAACTTGCTGCGGGGCTAAACCCTAAACCCCCTCCGGTGTTACAAAAGAAACGGGCTCAGGTGTTCGGACGAACCTGGCAGTTTTTCTTGGAGCCAATGCGGCGTGCCCGCGCGTGGGCATGAGTTCGTGGTTTGCGTAGGTTGGGGGTGTTCCGAGGAACGAGAATCTGTCGCAGTTTCTGGACCTGAAGAAGCTTCCGCACTTTGCGGATCCCGCCTGGCGAGAGGATGTGCCAGCGACTTGGCTTCAAGGAATGGTTAGCCTGGGCAGGCTGAAGCACCCAGGATGTATGAAGCCCCTGGTTGAATTCGTGGTGTACCATTTTGGGGAAACGACGACTAAGAATTCAGGATGTGTTTTGGGGTAGACATTATGGCTTCCCTGTTTGATTTGTTTAGCAGCGTCTAGCATGTGTCTTGATTCACAAGGCGGCAGACAGAATGAGCATGAGGCAAGCTGTAGGACGCCGGGGAGGGAGCGCGATGCAAGACCAAGGCCGGGCATGTCGTCATCAGGCAGGATGACACCGAGGCCAGGGTGGGGTGGCTGGGGCAGGAAGGCGGCAGTGGATTTCTCCAGGCAACATGCGGGTATGGGTCAAAAATAACACCACCAGAACATCGCAACATGTTTTGCTGGTTCCATTTACCAGGGTTCCATTTTGGGTACCCGATTTTGACCCACAGCCATGTGGTGCCTGAATTGCTGCGAGGGATGTCAGTGATGTTTGCTTGAAACGGCAGCGTGGGCTATCTTGTGGGGGCCTCTGGCAAATTACCGTGCACGCCACCGGCCTCAAATATGTTTGGCAAAGTACCATGTCCATGCGTAGCCCAAGGTAGCAAGGAGCCTTTGCCGCTGATCGAGGCGTAAGGATTTGCAGCACAGTCATGCCCCTCCCAAGAAGGCCAGAGCTAGCACTGATCCCAGCAAACCGGGGCAGATGCGGAAGGGCATGAGCGACTCGTTCTTCCCTCCCTGAAGCTATTTGCCCCTGAACGGCTTGGTGTTGACAACTGCTTTCTTGTGTGAGGCATTGGGGAATGCAAGATATCAGGTTAGCATGTGGATTCGATTCAACACACACACACACACAGCGCATGGGAAGAATATGGCAGGCGGATTACTTCTACGTGGTGCAATCTGGGGAGCTCAACGTGTTCAAGGATGACAAGATCACAGGGCACTTGAGCGCTTTTGATCGAACAGATGCGGAGTCGAGTCACCGGCCGGCTGTTGAGCAAGTAGATCTGAAAATAGTCAGGGATCACAATTCGACTGTCTAGCCCTCTTTGGCTGTAGGGCAAGGATTTGCCACTTGGCAACTGCACAAAATCGGAACAGTTCCATAGCTACGTGATCAACTAGGTACCGCATCAACCTTCTGAGCCAAATGTACTCACTACTTGTTTCTTGGGATGTTTACCAGGAACGGCTGGACGCTCACTTGACCTCGCAGACAGACATTGGGTTCATCAGGTTCCTCAAAATCCCACTTGGCCGCATGTCGACCGGATGTAGATCCTCAAGCTCACGGTGGTCAGTGGCAGATGACATTGCTCCATACTCAGCATGCATGTCTCACTTGTCCTTTGGCGATTGGGGCGAGATCCTCAGAATTAGGAACATGTGTCAATGGCACTTTTTTGGGGGGGTCAGCTTTTTATGCCAGTATCACATTGGCCTGCCAGGTCGCCCCGCTTCTGGTCCAGCATTTGCAAAAAGGGGAGAACCCTCCTTCGGGGATCATCAGGGAATACCATGCGCGAAGCAAGGTGCAAATCCGCTTCTTCAGGATTGCCAAATACATGTATATGCATAGATATATATATATATATATTACTGTATATGTTTCCCACATCTAGGTTTTCTACATATATGTGTGTATAAACCAAAACGCATACGCACTGTGGATGCTCACAGCCCCGATTCTGGCAGACACCGCGTGATGACTGCACATCCTGCTTTGCAGTTGCGCCGAGGGTTACGTGGTTGGGCTCTCGGAAAGGAAAGGGGGTGTGGAAGCCACAAAAAAAGTGTATGTTTGAATTGGTTTTCTTAGACGGGTGCCATGTACAAAGACGTGCCCCTCTGGGCCCTTCCCCTCCCCTCCTCCCCTCCCCTCCCCCCCCTCCCCCCTCCCCCCCCTCCCCCCCCCCCCTCCCCCCTCCCCCCTCCCCCCCCCTCCCCCTCCCCCCCCTCCCCCTCCCCCCTCCCCCCCTCCCCCCTGCCCCTGCCCCCTCCCCCTCCCCTCCCCTCCCTCCCCTCCCTTCCCCTCCCTCCCTCCTCTCCCCTCTCCCTCCCTCCCTCCCTCCCCCTCCTCCCTCTCCCCTCCCTCCTCCCTCCCTCCCTCCCTCCCTCCCTCCCTCCCCCCCCCCAAGGCAAGGGCGCCTGCTTCGGTGAGCTCTCGCTGCTCTTCAGCGCCCCCCGCACCGCCACGGTGAGATCCTCGAAGCCCTGCCAGCTCTGGGTGCTGCCCCGGGGGCGCCTTGCCTCGCGAGGAGAAAAAAAGGAAAACAGGGGAGAAGACGCGCGAGAGAGAAACCGGCCACAACATACTTGGGCTGGGTTTAAGTCTACCTTGGGAGAGTCAAAAAAGAAGCGGAACCCTGGACAAGGTGGTTTCGGACTGGGTGCGTGGAATTTTTTTGGTGGTCAGGAGTTCAAGGAAAGCCAAATTCCCCGTACATCACCGAGCTCGCTTGAAAATGGCCAAAGGGGTGATGTTCCGTTGCACCCAGAAGGGCATTCAAATTTGGCAGGAAAGCAGGGGCAAGGCGGGGTGTGATGTTGAAACAGCTCTCCGGTATTGCCAGTGGCTCTCTCATTGGCCGGGGGAAGCGCTATCTGACAGTTCACTCATTTGCCACCTGAGGTGGATCAAGTCGGCAGCGCAGGCATCAGCACAAACCGCACCATGGCCAGGAGTCCTTTTGAAGTTTGCCGGTTTTCGGGAGGACCCCTCAATTTTAGGGAGGAGCCACAGCTTAAAGGCCTCCCCAAGAGAGGAATCCCATGATAGAAGAAGTCGGATGATGCCGGATTTGCTATGCCAAAGAGCCCCGAATTTCCCGCCGCTGAAGGCGCGTTCGGGAAAAAGGAGGGGAGGGCACTTGTGGCAGCAAAACATGGCCTTTTGCTTGCTCATCTTGCTCGAAGTGTCACCGCCTCGAGCATGTCCCAGCTTGGGTGGCTAACCTTTGGGGCGGGTCTGCGGTTTGACATTCCATCCTCAAGGGGGTGGGGTTCCCGAAAAGGGTCAAGCCCAGTTGAGGCATTCTTTCCTCACTGGTTTTGATTTCTGACTCATTGCTAGGATCCAACCTCCCTTCTGCCTTTCCCCCTTGTTTCCTCCAAGGATGGGAGGTTGGAATCCCACGATCAATGTGTCGGAAAAAGTTTCCTTTCATGCCAGGTGTTGACAAGTTTAATCCATGTGCTCCCCTTGGAGAAACTGAGGGAGATTGGAATCTCATGAACTCCATGTAGCCATACTGTTGACCCCAGATTAATCAACCTCATAGGTGGTGTTCTCCTCCAAAAGTGATGACTCCCCACTAAACCCAGGAACACCTCCCTATTAATACAGCAGGGGGTTATTAATCCGGGGTCAGCATTAATGTGCTTAGGCCCCTGGGAAACTACTAAAAAAGATGACTTTCCCCACTAAACGGGGACAAGTTACCTATGGTCATGGGGCCAGGAATATTGATCAACCTCCATGTGGCTGTGGGTCAAAAATAGGTACCCAAAATGGAACCCACAATGACTACAACCTGTGGTCCAATTCCTGGTGGTTTGATCTTGACCCACAGCCATGAAGCCATCTACCAAAAAGATGACTTTCACCAAACGGGGAAAAGTTACCTCTGGTCATGGGGCCAGGAATGTTGATCAACCCCCATGCCATGCGGGTTGAGGCCTCAAAGAAGCAGATGGTGTACCTGAACCACGTGAAGCTCTTCGACGTGCTGCTGCAGGCGGAGAAGGCCGTGATCGCGCCGCTGCTCAACGAAGTGGACTTCGTGTCGAAGGAGAGGGGAGAAATTTTGATCAAAGGACCAGAGTGGGCCTTAAATGGAAGAGAAGGGCTTGTTTGGGCTCCCTCCCCCTCCCCCTCCCTCCCCCCCAGCCCCCATGACAAGTGTTTGAACATGTTCTTTTGTGCTGGTTGGCAACCAACCCTGAGGACAAGATCCTGGGCTTTGGGGAGGAGGAGGTTCGGAGTCCCGGAAGGTGTGCAAGACGAAGACTATTTGAGCGGTGCTCCACCGAACCTTTGCGGGCGCTGCAAGCGTGACCTCTGGCAATTTGGGTGTGGCCTTTGAGGGTACCGCATAGATGCCATTTTAGTTGGCCCTCCAACAAAAGACCCAGTAGGGGACCCCGCTTTTTGTTGGCCATTTTAGTGCCCCCCCCCGAAACCAAACAACAAACATGACACACCAGAAAGCACACCCAACAGACCCACCCATTTGGAACGTCTTGTGGTTTGGACTCCGCGACCACCAAGGCCTCCATGTACATCCTGGTGAAGGGCTCCGCTCGCATCGAGGATGACGATGGCGTGCCTCGCCCGCCTGCGACGGGCGATTTTTGGATCAGCGACATCCTGAAAGCTCCCAATTTGTGGGTTCAAAGGGGCCACTCGGAGACAGAGACATGTTTTGTCAGAGCCGAAGATGTGCACTTGAGCTTTATGGCTATGACCGGATTGAAAAGTTCAGGTCACCGGTAGGTTCCACTGAAAAGAGTCATGAAGCAGACACAAACATACACATGTTTGCGTTTTCGCGAAAGATGCTGACCACCAGACCAATCCAAATGCATCATCCCAGCCCAAATCCTAAGTCACCAATTCCTAAGTTTCTGCCGGTCCTTGGCGGGCGGGGGGTAAGGTGCTGCTCCTCCGCATCCTTAGGTTGTTTTTTTCAAAGAACCCCAAAGGGCGCCCTCCAGAAGAGGCACAAGCACTTGTTCCATGGATGTGAGCAACGGTTTTTTGCAACATGGCTGTTGAGCATGCGTGGAAACGATTTGATGCTTGTGGGCCGCGTCCGGTTTGTGAACCAGGAGTCTCTCCCAGTGTGGTTCTGGATTGGTGGGGGAGGGGTAGCGGTTGCCGTTCGGATTGTGAAGTCCTGTGCTGAAGGTCAAGGCAAGATATCGCATGTTGGACTGACAATCCTGGTTGCTCAGCCTCGTGTCCTGTGCCCGGGGAGTTGTGCCGTGACCTCTTGGGTCCAATCACGGCCACCTGAAAGAAGGCGCTGGGTCCACCAAGCACGAAGGATTTGCCTCGAGCCCAAGATTTGTCACCTTCCGGGTGCTAAATGGCCAATTTATTTCGCATCTTTCTCAGGAACTGGTGGATGTAGGTCTTAATCAATTCTTTCCTCAGGAACTGGTGAATGTAGGTTTTGAATCGTCAATTTGTCAGGTTTCCATCGCCTTTGTTTCAACGCCCGGGTTCTGCAGCGCCATGTCCCTGTTGCGGGTGGCTTCGGAGCTTGAGGTCCGGGAAGTGACGGCAGGGCTGTCCGAGAACATGAGCTCCATGGCGGTGCATTGCTTTGGGGAGCGCGCCCTGTTCGGGCCTGGCCACTCCAGTGAAAGGAGCCGGGGGTTGGGGGAAGACACGGAGAAAAACAACAACGCGCTTGAATCATTTGTTGAGTCGTCACTGGAATGAGCTCCTCTTGAATATTTCTGTGTGAATCAGTGTTTGTCAGAACCTGTGTACGTTTTTGTTGCAGCATGAAAAAAAAACGGAAGTGACATATTTTCTGCTGCAAAATCCCTGCTGCTGAGGGGCAAGAACCGGCCAATCCTCCGTCACACATCAGCGGTAGCACTCTTGAACTCCCCCCCAGAAGACAGCTGGATCCCCCTTTCAAACGGGAGGTGTCCCCTGTAGATTTCTTTCCTCAATCCTGGGTCACATTTGCCGCCAACAAGTTTGCTTGACTCCCAGGAGTGTGAAGATCTCGTCGCCTCACGCTACCTGCTACAGACTGGATGGCGCGGGGTTCAAAGAATCGGCGTAACGTTTGAGCTGTTCTTCCTAGGTTCAGGCTTGACAAACATGGCAGAAGGCGTGGCCACAGCATCTCTGCTTAACTATCAGATTTATGCGACGTGCAGTTTCTCTTGAAGTGGCGGGACATGTCAACTCTGCAAATTCCCCAGCTAGCTGGCCCTGGACGCGTCCCTTTTTAGTGTACCAATGTACCCTCAGCCCTGATCATGGACCCGCAACGGACTTGGTTCAAGCTAGGGCGATCACAGGCTGGAACCGTCCAGGCGGTTGTTCCGCCATTTGGTTTGCCCCATGACCTCATGTTGGAAGTGCTGGGCGGGGCATGGTTTTGCATTTCAATCAGGATTCTCAGGGGCGGGTGTGCATTCCAGTCGCCGAGTTGCATGATTTTACCTGGTGGTTTCTGGAGCCAAATATTGTCGTTTTACTCCTAGCAAACTGACGACTCTGTATTTATGCGTCAGCCGCTTGAACGAAGAGCTCACCCAGCACAGGCCCTTAAGATTTTTGCATTGGCATTGTCAAGTCACTCGGCCAACCTGATATTGAAAAGCATGGTCCCTTGCGCATGTTCAGAATGAAGGTAGTTATTCATGTGACGCTTCCGCCAGTTGGCAAGTATGAGCTACTTGCAACTTGCTTCAGGTGGTGCGCGCAGCCAATGCTACCTAGCCCACGTTTATCCCCCTTGAGCAGACCAAGGTGGCAACATGCCAGCGTCCCCCTGCTAAGCTTGCCGCCAGCATGTCATTGCTTAAAACTGGTGTGCCATCTAGCCACGTGTACTTGGTGGCCGCTGGAATCTTCGGGGCAGTTGTTGAGGCACAGAGGTAGCTATTGTTTCGCCTTACTCATGGTTGTTGTTGGCAAACATTTCTTCAATTTTTGCTTATTGTGGTTGAGTGGTTGAAATCCCCACCCACTTAACTGCTAAAAATCATTTGTTTTGCTCCCCTAACCCAACGTCAACCAAGAAGGAAGAAGAAGAAAGAACAAGTACCTGCAAGAGAAGACCAGAAATCATAGGTGTCCTTTTTGTAGTGGAGCCGTTGCCTGGAGGTGTTGACTTTCAAGCCATCTTCGGGAAGTATGACGATATCCTGCGCCAAAGCGAGAGGCTGGATGGGGCTTTCCCGCCGACAGGGCGGGGACACATGTGACTCGGTGGTGCAAAAAAAAGGTCTTTGCAGACAGATCATCACCATTTGAGAAATGTGACCAACAAAAACTTGTGTTTGTGATGGAGCCTTGCCTGAACGAATGCTGTTGCGGCAATGCCCTTTTTCTTCATGCCCAGCCGTATGCCTATTTACACTTGTGTGTGCAACTTTTGGCATGTTTGTGCTTCAGCAAGAAAGCATGATGTTATCGGTCGCGTGTGCATTCCCCAGAAGTGAGGCACCAGCACTGTTTGACACTCCTTTGTTCCCGCGCCAGCAGCGCCAACAGAGAATTACAAGAGGAACATGGTTGACTGTGTTGAGCCACATCCGAAAACGTTACGGCAACTCGACCGGCGTGTTTGCAGCTGTGCGTGCCGCGTGCTGCACGCACGCCACACAGCAAGATGGGTTGAAACACGGTTAACAATGGATGTTTGAGAAAAGATGCTGGCAAATATGGCGGCAAGGGATGGCCAGGGCTCTGTTTTTCTTTTGGGGACCCATGGGTCGGTCATACTGGCGCTAGGGGCATCGACTTTGTGGGCATCGATATGGACCTCGAGAAGGCCGATGTCAGCAGCCTCTTGTCCATGCGGAAGAAGGACCGAGCAAAGGATGCAGCGGAAGAGGATGAAGCAACCTGAAACCGGCCATCAGATCCCAAGCTGGCAAGATGCGTTTCGATGTGTCGAGCACTTGGGGGCCATGATGTCAGTGCCTCGGGCATTCCATTGTTACACACCGCTTGGGCGGTGCCTCCCGTTTTCGGGATTTCAGCCACCGCCATCAACCGCCCGCCAATTCCCAGGAGCTGCGGCGGGTGTCCTTCCTGCGGCCCGGGCAGTTCGGGAATCTGGAGCTTTGGTGCCACACAATCACAGGCCAGGCTTGAATCGGTGCAAAACGACCTGCCTGCGCTGGCGCGTTCGCGCGGGGTTTCGTTGGGAAGCTTTTGCCTTCCGGTTTGCTCCGGAGCAGACGTTGGTCCGCTTTTTCAAGGGAAGCCAGAAGGGGGAGCCGTTTGAACCATGGCTCACACATGTTCAAGTTTGGGGTGGCCAGCCCGTGTCACTGGCAGAGAACTTCTTGTGTGCATTCCAGCCATGAGCACATGGCTTTGCATAGAAGGACAGCCAACCTGATGGCCAAGTATCACTGGAAATCGCAGGAAAAAGTTGTTTGCCCACCGCTTTCAAATTTGGGAACCGCTTCCGCGTTTGGGCGCCGTGTTGGACTTTTGGCAGGGGCGATGTTTAGAAGGCTTTCCCCTTGATAGCGGCGAGCGAGCTTCCTTCCCACACACGAAACCCGCAGGCGATCCATATATGGTCAAGGCCCTGTCCAAGGGCTATGTGGTGGAGCAGGGCTTGCAGGAGAAGGTCATGCAGGAGAGAAGTCAAGCCTGTCAGGCGCACCCCCAAAAGATCTCAGGTGGGAGGCTTCCAAGCCGTTCCTTTGATGATGCCCACCTGGTAACCCAACCACAGGTTCTGGGGTTCCAGGGCATTCTTGTGCCAGGAGACGGGAGTCCAAAAGCTTGATGGGAAAGTTTCGGTGTGTTTGATGTTGCTTGATCCACTTCTCTTCGGGCCGTCCTTGACCACAGCTGCTTGGCCGGCGTTGGATGCAAGGAGAAGGACATCATGATGAAGTTGGACCACAGCTTCATTGTCAAGCTGTTGCAAACCTTCCAAGGCCACAGGGACAAGGTCCAGAGCAGTTTGGAGTTTGGAGGGGGGAATTGTGTCTTCTTGGATGTCAGCTCTGTCGTGCCACAGGCAACCACAGCAACCCCACAGCGGAATGTTCCCGTGGGGGCACAATGAAATGGAAGGTCCATGAAGGCACTGTGGCCCTGATGTGCCTGTTCATTGCATAGGTGTCCTTTTTGGTTGATTTGGTTGAAAAAAATCAGGGCCCTGGTTTACCTGGTTCAATCAACTACCAGGGAGACCCATCGATTTTCCCAAAAAGGACACCTATGGTTGAGTGTGTTTCTGGATTTTAGCCGCCCAACGCTTGAATCCAGCCCTGTCGCAGGCAAGCAGATGCTGTACTTCCTCATGGAGCCAGCTCTGGGGGGCGACCTCTACACCTGCTATCTGAAGCAGAGCCTCCACGGCTCCAACAGCCACGCGCTCTTCTACAGCGCCTCGATGCTGCTGGCGCTGGACCACATGCACCAGAAGAAGGTCGCCTACCGGGTGCCCTGGACATGCAGTTAAGGGGGTGCTGCGGTGGTGCAACAGCTACCGGCACATGCCACCTTTTGGATTCGGACATGCAGTTGCGGGGGTGCTGCGGTGGTGCAACAGCTACCGGCAAACGCCACAGGCTGTTGGATTCAAGTGGGCACAATGACATACGACTTCGCTTAGTTGAATGGGTCAACGTCGTTGAGCTGACAAAGGCTATCCAGCAACGGCAGGAGAAGAGCCCACAGCACTTGCGAAACACTGAAACCGGCTTGGCCCTTTCAACCTTTGGATTCATTGCTGCCTTGGGTCCCGAAGGCAGCCGTTGAACAGGCATGGCGGCACTCAATTGACTCCCATCAGCGCTTGTTGAATGAGGTTGTGTTATGCCACGGCCCAAGTCCTTCACTGAAGCTTTGCGCACTCCACCAACCACCTCTCAAAAGCGCCATCGAACAGGCAGCAAGAGTCCATGGTGTTTGCGTTTGGCCAGCTCAAGTGTTAGCTCCCACGCTCGCACCGAAGGTTGGGCTTTCTTTTGGAGTAGGTGCAATCTAGCATCCGCATCTGCGGATACTAACTAGCATGCTTCTTCATTTGCTCGGGGACTTGAACAGCTATGAGGCCATGTGGCTCATAGCTAGGCTTTGCAGCTGTGGAGCTGCCAGATGTCGGTGTCAAGCAGACTTCTAGGGGTAGCTTCCAATTCCATTCTTTCCAGGGATCCTTCTTTCTGCAAAAACCCCAAAACCCTGGGTTGAAATGGATCCGGTTTTTGGAGAAACAAAACGATGGCTCAAAAAAGATGGGATTGGAATCAACCGCTAGAAGTAGAAACGCGTCCACGTGGCTGTTCCCACTTCACCCCTGAGGGGTTGGGGTGTTGATCCTCTGAGAGGCGTTTGTCTCCGAGCCGAGGACCTGAAGCCGGAGAACGTGCTGCTGGGCGCCACGGGCTACGTGAAGCTCATGGAGTTCAGCCTGGCCAAGGTGGTCGTCGGCAGGTGGCTGGCGGGTCGCTCGCGGGTTCGGCCGTCCAGGGACTCCTTGGGGAGGCTCCAGGCAGCTGGATGGTCTTTTTTTTGCAGGTGTTGACAAGTGGCCATGCGGCGTGTGTCACAAAATGGCCGAAAAAGAAGAAACAACAGCCAACAGTTCAGCTTCAGTTCCGGCTTGGTCCCTTCAGACCAGCCCCAAAAAGGGTAGCCTCGCAAAGCACGCAAAAAAGCCAAGGGCTTTGATAGGTTGACAGGCGGTAGGAAAGTTTGAGCCTGTTTTTAGGGGCTCGAACTTTTACCAAACACAAATGGTGAATGCACCATTTGGTGGTAGGAAAGTTTGGAACCAATCGTGGTAGTGAGGTTGGCTGGAGCAATGAGAGCCAGAGACCAGGGAGCCTCGGCAGTGGCTTGCAAGGCTTTGTGCGTTGCCGTGTGGCCCTGGCCAGGACTTATACCATCGTGGGCACCCCTGAGTACTTGGCACCGGAGATCATTGGCGTCACTGGTCACAACCAGGCGCATGGAAAACCAGAGGAGCATCATATATGCGCAGGTTCGAAGCCGCAGTTGGCTTGGATGTAGCTGTGGAGCGAGGTGTTGTTTTTCTATGGGCTGGTTAAGTTGGAGTGAGGTGGTTTTGTTTCCTTTGGGCCGGTACAGTTGGAAGAGCTGCGCGTTCCGCTGCCTCGCGTTGCGGTAGCCGCAGGCAGCGGATTGGTGGTCCTTCGGGATTTTCATCTTTGAGCTGCTAGCAGGCCTGGTCAGCTGCGAAGAGATAGTTCCAAACAGCCTTCCTGGATTCCTGCTGTCTTCCCCAGAATTGGTTCCCCTTTTTGCTTTTTTGCTTTTTTTGGGGTCCCTTTGTTTTCCACTAACCAGGCAAAAAAGATATGTTTTGCCGGGGTCCTAATTCCAGCCTGGTTGTGTGAGCGCGTGAGTCTGCCAGAGAATGGAAGTGGAGGAGGAGGTGTTCCCCTGGAATTCGTTTGGTTCCCTCCCCCCCCACCAATTTGTAGGGAAAAACTGCGGAACCTTGAGCCCTCTGAAGGTCATGGCCATGGAAAGCTGCCCGGACCAACCGCTGCCAGGCAAAACGCCTTTCGAGGGCATCAACCCCATGCAGACTTTCGGCAAAACCTTGGCTGGGTTGGACAAAGTGGCCTTTCCATCCAAGGCCGGGCACGGAGCACAGAAAGGGAATGGAGAAATATCTGCTGTGAGCCATGCGACGCCTGAGGTGTCTGTCTCTTACCCCCTTGTCCCATACCTTGGTGCGCAAGGTGACTAAAAGGGAGGGAATTCGAGAATGTGCGATCAACAGAGCAGTTCTTGTGCATGACTTAGGTTTCATTCCAGTCAGTCATCAATCGAATGCGCCTTAGGGCCATTCTGCAGTGGCTCTTGGCCAGGGGTCCCTAGGTTTCTGTTTTTGTCGATTTTAAGCATCACCTTTTTGGCCCATGAACGGTTTGGTGGGAGTGATGTTTTAAGGAGAAGCATAGGGAGCCCTGTTCGCGTTCGCCGGCATCTGGGTCTCCCAACGGCCCATGCCAGCGTCCGCTTGCAGAGGTGACTCCGGCGGCGCAGCGGCTGATCCAGGACTTGCTTCTTTGGAAGGCGGCGGGAGCTTGCAGGCGCTTTTTGTGCCACCAAGGGCAAAAGGGAATGGTAGTCCAACCATAACTTTGCATGTTGCCAAGGGATGTCAGGACAGCCATTTTTTTTGCCAACTTATGGGTGGTCGGTTTTCCATTGAACCACCAAAAGGTAAACTTGTAGCAGGGGAGCAGAAAGCAACCGAGATAAAGGTTGCCATAAAGAGAGAGAGAGAGAGAGAAAAAGAAAGAAAGAAAGAAAGAAAGAAAGAAAGAAAGAAAGAAAGAAAGAAAGAAAGAAAGAAGACAAAAAATAAGGCCAATGGTATGGGGTAGGCCTCTTTAGCACCAGGTTTGCTTTGTACTCAAGAGGATGGGATGTTGATCGTGTCGGCCAAACTGGGAGTGGCTGTTGTAGAATTTAGTTGCTTGGTCCTTGAATAGACCAAGGGCTCAACAAGAGTGGCTTTTGTCAAGGGAGTTTCCGCCACGCATGACACCAGCCTTGGGCACATACCCGCAGCGACAAGCTCGAGAACTCCATCCGCGGCATCGCGCGCAGGACCTCTTGAAGAGATCTCCGGCCTTCCGGCTGCCCATGAAGCCAGGCGCCATGGCAGCAAGACACCTCATACCTTCACATGAATCGAACACTCTTGTTGGTGGAGAACCCCTTTGAAAAAATCGCATCGCAGCCCCGTACACCAAAAAAGGGATGTGCATGCCCCTTGTTGGGGAGCAAGGGAAATACTGTACGCGGGCCCCACATCTCTAGTCGGGGTTGCGATTGGGGATGGAGTCCGAAGTTGACATTGAGCCAATTTACGCATGTCCAATTACCTCATCCACCGAACTGTGACAGCGGGTGCGCTGAGACCTAGCACAGTTCAGTTGGTTCTCTTGCTTCCCTCCAGTCCCGGGCAAATGCCGAGTGATTTCACCATGGTCCCTTCAAGAGGACATGGATTGTCCCTGGAATTCCCCACTGGCGCCATGTTGATGGGAGGAATGGTTGTTGCTTCTGCTTTTTGGGGCATAACCCGGGTAGATGAAGGTTAGTAAGGGACAATCCCAGCCATAAATAGTTGAGGAATTCCGCCTTTGTATTTCCTTACCATGGTTCTGGGTCAGCCATTTGAATACCGGGTTTTGCGCAAGTGACTCACACCTCCAGCTTTCCAGGGGGCGTGGCCAACGTGAAGGAGGCAGATTGGTTCCAAGAGTTCGACTGGCGAGCCACGGCTTCGATTTGGCACCCGCTCCGTGACTTTCTTTGTGATTAGGCCCCCCAGCCAGGTGCCCTTTTACTCTCTTTTTTTTGGGGGGAGGGTTCCCCTACAAAAATAGACTACAAAAAAGACACCCTTATTCCAACCTCTCTACTCAAAAACCTGGGTGTAGAGGTTGCCTGACTGGATGCTCCAAGTCTCGTCCAATGCCTAGCTCGACGGCGTGCCTGAGTCGAGCTCAGGAGCGCTCATGACGCAGACCATGGTCCCACCCTTCATCCCTGACATTCGAGGCGCGGACGTGCCGCTTTCTGTTGGATGGGCATCGGGGTGGGGGGAGGGGGGGTATGGACGCTGCTTGTCCAGCTCCCACACTGATACTCGACTCCCAGGAGATCACCACTGGTGTGAAATCGCTATCAGGCTCAGATGTGCCTCCACTCTCACATGGCAAGGACCAAGTCTCACACTCTCAAATCGGATTTGATCAAAGACGTGCTGTGGAGCACAGGATCTTGGCCGTTCAGTTGACTTGCATTGTGATATTTGATCCTCATTACAAGCTCTGTGGCAACCCGGAGAGGCAAGACGGACACCAGCAACTTCCCCACCGGCACCGACGCCGTCAAGGCCCCGGTCGTCGAGCTGAAGGACTGGGAGACCGGGTTTCGGAGGGCCAAGCTGGGCCGGAATTGGGTGTGAAGCATTCGCAGTGGTTCAAAGCGAATCGACCTTTTGACCTTTTGGTTTGCCCATTTTTTGTCCTTGTGACATTTTGGTTTGCCAATTTTGGGTTCCCATATTGAGTCACGGCCCCCAAAAGGTGATCACCTTTTAGTTCCAGGTCCGAACTGGGCAAGTGAGTAAAGATTTGGAGTAGGTGTCCCTGATATGCTATATGCATAGGCCTATGGACAGCCGATAAACGTTTGTACACATATTTTATGTGCATGTCCCGGTGCTTTAATGTGTATACACCGTGTAAATGTGGGGTACATATCGTCCTGGAGTCCACCAATGTGGCTCATGTATATAATTTGAAGCGGGGGAGGCTTGCTAGCATCCTGGCGCAAAGCCTTCAAGGCATGAAGAACGTGGCACTGGAAACAGGTTTGGCGCGCAGGGGTCAGAAAGCCTCGTGCACTGCTCACAGCGACAAGAATTCCGGAGGTCAGTCGGGCGAGATGCATCTCGATGCGACCGCCTGTCTTTTGCCAAGCCTAAAGCCCCCAATCCAATCCAATACTCAGTTGTTCAAAGCCGACCTTTTGACCTTTCGGTTTTCCAATTTTGGGTTCCCATATTCAGTCATGGCCCCAAAAGGTGATCACCTTTCAGTTCCAGGTCCGAACTGGGCAAGTGAGAATAAGCCTGTTGGGTTGGGGAGGGGGCTGCCGACAGGAGGATGACGGCAACTTTGACAACTTTGCCAGCGGTGCATGAGCCGGCGAGCCATTACTATTTGCTGAAATGAATATGTTTTATTTTCCCCTGTTGGTTGTAAAGGGAATCTCTCACTACTGCAAGTATTTTTGTTTTTTCCAGGGGTCTTAACCAAATGGAGGATTCTGTCCCAGTGTTGCGTTGGTCTGTGCTTTCTCAGCTGGCGTCAACATCCGGGTGTGTGTTCAGATCAACTTTCTGCCCAAAGCGCATTTGTCGGATGATCTTCTTCCAAGGGTTGAGCAAAACTGGCTCCCCAAGGATCATCCGGGTGTGCAGGCGTGTTTGGTTTGGGCAAAAAGTGCGACACGTGAGAAATACACCCCCCAACACGTTGAACATGTTGAATTCTGGTTCTCCCATTTTCCAACCTTTTTATGCGACCCTTTTCCCAGCCAGTTGTTCACATTGGTGACAAACGTGTTTCACTGCAGCTAGGCGTATCATGGTTGGGCCGGGGGGGGGGGCAGGGCGGTCCAACAAATCTACAAATGGGCGTTGGCAGCGCAAGGTCACAACTGTTTCAAAACGGGTGGTTGTCCAATGCGCAAGCATTTGCTATGGTTCACTGTGTGTGTGTGTTGACAGTTAGAATATATTCTTGTATGTTCAACCCCGCGAATAATATTTTCCATATCCCTGTTTGAACATTGATTCGCGAAAAACGAAATGGATCAAGATGTGCCGATTTAGAGCACAGAAAATTACATTGAGGTACATTGACAACAGTTCGATGTAAATGATTGAGAAACAGCAGGCCATTTACTGTCAGTTCAACACCTTGAGAGCCAGTGGAACATTTTTACGACGTGGCGTTGGCGTGCATTCTTTGTGGCATCCAATGTTTGACTCGCTGTTCAGGATGCTCAAACCGGCTTTGTGAGCGTGGTGCGGCTAGGAGTGCTACCAATGGGCGCTGTGTGCACTGGCCTCATGCTACAGGGTGCGACTGCGTTTGAGGGAGTGACGTTTCAGGCTGCATCCAGGAAGATGTGGACAGTCCAGGGACCGCAAACGTGGTGCGAGCGTCATGTTCATAAGCAGGGTGCCTTGCTTTCGCGATATGCACCCGTGCAACACAATTCGGTTGCAGGACGTCCTCCAAGATTGAGCTCGACGAAAAGCAGAGCTCGGCGCCTGTGACCGTGTAGGCCTCGGGTCATTCTCCGAAGGAGCAGAGCAGTTCACTTTGCCTGTGGCACCAAGGCCGCAGGGTCAGAAGCTGATTCTTTGCGGCGGGGCACTGGGGTTTGAGAGGACGCTGCACTGAGGTCGGCAGCAGGTATGGTAGACCAGCTGCGAGGTCATTGGACACGAAAGGACACTGTGCTTGTCATGCGTAGAATTGCGTAGGTGGGGAAGGACGTGATGGAATGTGTACCTTTGATAATGGCAGGAGGATAATATGTCGCTGGGTACCATCTCGGGCAACAACATGGTGTGGGAAACCGTCTACAAACATATGCCCAGTCCCATTTGGGAGGCAGGGCCGGTTCGGCGCAAGGTAGATATGCGGGCTTGGACTCTGCAAAGCCGCCAAGGTGCATGGAGACCGGGTGAAGATGAACTTAGCCGGTGAGGAGCATTTCGGCAAAGTCACGCACGACCCCCGAGGTAGACGTTTCGTGTTTCTGTGCAGCGAGTTGTTCGCCTTTTGAGAGCTGAGGCTGAGTGGTACTGCCACTATCACCTGGGAGGATGGCGAGGCCTGAAAATGTCTAATTGTCGCTGTGTGCGATGAAGTTGCTGCCAAGATGTTGGTTTTCAGGTGTGGGTCCGGAAGTGACCCCGCGCAGATCGCAAGTTTCACTCATCCTTTGGGGGACCTCACCCTTGTGGGGCCAAAGAAGCTCGGCGCGCGGTGGCCAAAACGTTCATGGCGTGGGCGATTTGTTTTTTGCGCCGCGCGGGTCCAAACGGTATTGGTTTGTGTGTGGTGAATCCGGTCGTTGCCACGGTCAAGGCGATTGAGTGAAAAGTTCAACACGTGAACGATTTAGGGGCTGGCATCAGATATCAGGCCATTAAAGCAACCACACATAAAATCTAATAAGTTTGCAGGACCGGCCGACGGACGGAGAAAATTCTGCACATACCAAGCATTTACTGCGGGCAGTTCTCGCATCAGCTGCTTGATCCGAAGTGTTTGTGTCAACGAAGCCAAGAGCTGGGGCCAAATGGTGCGATGTCTGGCCTGGAGCTATTCATGGATGGTGGGGCCACGGTGGCCGGACTCCTCAGCGCCGGAGCGGCCATGCTGGGCTACCAGCAACAGAAAGAGGACGATTCCGAGTTGGCATGCTCAGAGGAGGAGTCTTTGGTGCATTTTGAACCCAGGGATGTTAGGACTTCAACTTTTTGCCAACTAATGAGTTTTCCGAATTAAACCACTAAAGGTTATTCACTTTTTGCAGGGGCCCGCAGAAAGCAACTGAGGAGTTTTCGCTCCTGCGCAAAAACTTGGCAGAGGCCTACACCTCGCTGTGCGCCGCGCATTCCGCCATAACCTCGGCTTGGGGGCAGCCTCTGTCCCTCTTCAAGCGCGCAGCGCGCGACGCGGAGGAAGAGGCGGCGGATGAAGCGGAGCCGGAGGTGGCGCTGGAGGTGGTGGAAGGCGCCAAGCGCCTGGTGGAGCGCGCAGCGGCGCTGGAGGACCTGGCGGACGTCTACGACGCCCAGCTGCAGCTGGCCACCGGCGCCGGCGCCGGCGCCGGCGCCACCCGCTGCGTGCGGCGGGGCCCGGTGCAGGCGCTGGAGGCGGAGCTGGAGGAGCTGAGCCTGAAGCTGTCCGGGCGGATTGCGGCGCTGGTGCGCGCCAAAGAGGCGCTGGAGACGAACCAGCCCCTGGCGGAAGTCGAGGCCGGGCGGAAGTTGCTATGAAGTACTGCCAATGTGCGAAGTTTGGGTAGGGCGGTTGGGGATGCAGCCGGTTCCGAAGGGTTGCCAAGGATGTGGCAGGTTTCGGTATGATGTGTGGCGGCCAACGTTTGCTTGAGTTGGCCAACGGTTTGGCCGGGTTTGCACGGCTAGAGGCCATGCTTGAACAATTACCTACGTGGAAGAACAAGGATGCGCTGCAAGCATGTATCAAACATTCGCCGGACCCTCCCTTGGCTCCAGCGGTGGATTTTCATGCGTGGAGTTTTCCAGTTGCCCGGGCATCGCCTAGTGATGTGCTGACGCAACTGCCACTGCAAAGCGACCCGAAGGCCCCCCTCCGCTTTGGAGCCTCTACTTGGAATGCTTTGTCGCTCCGCCGCATCCGCGTTGCCAGCAACCGCTCACTGGCCCTGTGGCGCGCCGCGCGCGCCGCGCGCACGCACGCCACCGCCTCGATCTTGCAGACAGTGGCCGGCGGCGCTGGCCGTCCTAGTGTGTAGGCACTACAGGCCCGGAAGATGCCGGGTCCCACGAGCGGAAGCAGCGCAAGGCAGCTTATTTCAAGCAAGTTTCAAAGCAGTGCCTTCATCCATCCTATGTTGCGTGTTGGTGATTTGATGTGCGTGTGCTGGTGTTTTGACTCTCGTTTGTTTGATCGTTTGTGCGTGCATGTGCCGTGTCTGAGGTAAGGCTGCCTCTGCCGGACGAAACAGTCGCGCATTGGCAGCATAGACGGTTTGGAGAAAGGTCTGTTCGCCATGGCGCATCATGGTGTGCTTGTGTGTGCTTGCTTTCACAACGGCAACACAAACAACAGAGTTCAGATGCCACCTGGAATCAGGAGATGCTCGGAATGCCAAAGACTTGCCCTCCGAGGACTGCACAAATTGATTCGAATGCGTCTACCCACCCCAGAGTTGGCTTTCCCGTCGGCTTCATGTTGAAACCACCCCAAGAATGACAGGGCTCCTCAAAAGATACATGTTGCCCATTTGAAGCATGGTTTTGTCCAGCAAAATAAAGGGAAACCACCATTTACAAGGCAATGTTCAGGTGTAGAATGTAAGGATCCCTGAATTAGTATCCTCAAACAGCAGACGCCCATGCGCCAGGATGCTGAAGTTTGGCAGCCTCGCGGTGCTTTGGAGCCTGTAGCCGATTTGGCCAGGGCCTAGGGAGCAGCGTCGTGATCATAGGTGTCCTTTTTGGTTGTTTTGGTAGAAAAATAGATGGCCCTGGTTTACCTGGTGGTTTAATCATCTACCAGGGCCATCTATTTAGTCAATGCGCAGCAATCCAGGCTGAGAAACTTCCCAGTGTGGTTGGTTTCCCTTGAAACCATCCAGACAATAGTTCAATCACCCATCTTGTTTGCACTCCCGTTTTGCTCACCCATATTGCTTGGACTCCCGTATGTTTTGCAAGTAGTGGAGGTTCTCAGTTGTTCAAAGCCGACCTTTTGACCTTTTGGTTTTCCAATTTTGGTCCATATTTAGTCATGGCCCCAAAAGGTTAGCCTTTTAGTTCCAGGTCCTTTGGGCAAGTGAGGGTCTCCCGTATGTTTTGCAAGTGGCGGTTTGTTGCTCGGCTGAGGCTGAGATGCTGCTGCCTGATTTGATTATCTCAAACATGGAGAAGATCACTCGGCACACCTCGAGCAGCTCCGGCTTCCCTGCGCTGACTGGCCGCACAAAAAATAGTTGCGGTGGTCAAAACCGTTCTGGGATCCCATCTTGGGGTAGGCGAATTCACTACCCAGTTTAGAACCTATTTTAGTGGTTGGATTGGGATGTTCGCTGGCAACGGGGGGGGGCATTACGGCATGACTTGCAAAGTGGTCAAGTTGAAGATGTGGTATACCGCCATGAAAATGTGACCTAGTGGCCAAGAATGGGGAACTCAAAGTGGAAGTGGGAGATACCGATCGGTTTTCTAAACGAGTTCCCCATGGGACCCGGGTCTAACAGGCGCACACGAGCGGAGGTCGGCATGTCCGTGTTTCCCTGACGGGGGAGTTCATAAAAGTTCCCTTGAAAATGCACAATACATGAGAACCACTCAATTTTTGAAGGAATCGAGCTGAGTTCCCTTGAGTTGACGGGGAGTTTCAATACACATTTCGTGTGTTTCAGTTGTTTGCTCGTGGAGAAAACACACACAGACGCCCATGGGTTTATGTTTTTTTATGTTTTTAATGCGACCCCCCCCCAGCGTTGTTTTTTCTCTGAGAGCTCGAGACGTGCGAGGTTCATCGAGCACTCGAAGATCGTGACGGCCTGGGACGTCCAGCGCCAGCGCGCCTTCGGTGGGAAGCTCCTGCGGCAGACGGCCGCGGCCTCGGGTCCAAGGAGAGGTCCAACTCCATGAAGGAAAAGTCGCCCGGGAAAAACGGTCCGCTTCCACTGGGTTTAAGAATATGTTTTTGTTTTTTTGCCCTGTTGGTGTTGAATGGAATCTATGACAGCTCCGGGCGTGGGGGAAACCATCCGGGAGGAACCATGCGCTTCCATTTGCTTGGCAAGATTTGTTTGTGTATTTTGCCCTGTAAACCATCCGCTTCTGGGCTGAAGAATATGTTGTTTGTTTTTGTTTTGCCCTGTTGGTGTTAAAGGGGATCTATGACTATCGGATTTTTTTCCAGGGGGCTTAAGCAAATGGAAGTTAGAGGGGCATATTTCTACCTATAGTGGCATCCTAGGAAGGATGCCACTTCCTGGATAAACATACGTGGTTACCTATAGCGGCATCCTTCCTCTCACTAACATCCATGGAACAATTTGGGGTAAACATAGCTGGCTACGTATAGTGGCATCCTTCCTCCCACTGTTAGATTATTTGTGGGAGGGTACCTGGAAGATATTTTCCCTCTTGCGACCGGGTTCCTGTCAGGGGACAAAGCTGGATTGCTCTAGGTTGCTCAGCCGGAGGTCAGAATTCGAAGTCAATTCTTCTTCCTTCTGAGTCGTGGCTTTCTCCACACCACAGCGGCGTGGTGCCCACACTCCTGGGAGGATCCCCCCAAACACATCATGATTATTCTTGATTGCCCAATAGCGGATCTTTCGACTTTCATGTTTTGGGAAATGAAGGGGTGTTCTATTGAATCCGCAAAAAGTTATCCACCTTTTGCGGAGTCAACAGCAACCAAGATGTGTGTGTGTGTGTGTGTGTTTTTGTTTAGGGGACCCACTAAAGTGGTGGGTTTCTTGTTGGGTTTCTCTGTAATGCCACAAAAAAAGGCTACCCTCCACAAAAGACACACGCGTATTGAAGGGGATCCAAGTCAGGAGATTGAGTATGAAAGGCGTTGGCAAACAAACCATATGGTGCTCAAGTTGGGGGGCTGCTTTGGGGTGGTGTTTCAAGGGAAACCGGGTGCTTCACAGCCGCAACACCAGTCACCCGCTGCCGGCTAAGATCCCCGAGCCCTTGACGCAACTCTGCAGCGGCATTCTGAAGACCCTTCAGCTGTGGCCAGAGTTCTATGGTCACGCGATTCGGCGCCCTGGCAGAGAAGAGCCGCAAAAATGGAATCTGCATAATTGTTATAGGCTTCGTGTTGCTCGCTTGTCTCGGCCAGCGTTCTTTTGGCTGGCTTTGAGGCGCTGTGGTTCGGTGTGCCTTGAAGTGTTGTGCTTGTTTGAATGTGAGCTGATATATTGTGGGTTTCGAGGGAATTTGACTGATCTCCACGGTTTCTAGGGGTAGATTTGACAGGTTTCGATTGGACAGGTTCTTGATGGTGTTCTGAGGGAAGTTTGACCGGAGTTTGATGGGTTTTGACAGGTTTCTAGGGGGAATTTGACTGTTTTCCTCTTTTGGTTCTTTTCTTTTTTTTGGGTTGGACAGGTTTTTGCTGGAGTTTGGTTGGTTTTTGAGGGAAAGCGTTCCAGAGATGTGAGTTTGGATGCCTCGAGGTTCGTGGGCTTGGGCCGCAGAAGGTTCTGTCTTTGGACCGATGTTGGGGCGGGGAAAGGGGCCCGAGGCGAATCTACGAGCTCACAGGAGTACAGCGAGTTTCACCATGGTAAAGATTGTTTAGTTGGATCCCTTCTGCCAGGTGTTGGACGTGTTTTAAAATGCGCAGATTGAATGACAAGCTACCCGAAAAAAGGGGAAACAAAAGGAGGGGGGGAAACAAAAACAACAACAAACAACAACAACAAAGACAACATGTACTCAAAAACGGAACCCGAAATTACTGGGACAAGACCAGTGCACTCGGCTCGACTGGGGGATGCATTGTTGCTGTTGAGACCCACGTCTTGGATTCACTTGCCCTCGCTGCAGGTTTGGCGCTGCCACCATCGGCGCTGTGACGTCTCACTGGCTGGTGGGTGAGACCCGGGTTCTTTCGGAAGAAGAAGCCACTGGCCGGAATGAAGCATGCATGGTTTGTCTCCAAATGGGTGTGTCTTTAATAGGCCCACAAATTGTGGTCTTCCTGTGGTGTGCATTCAAAATCCGCCCCCAACAAATGAGGACAGCTGCATGTCTGAGCTTTGACACACAAACACACACAAGATACACGCGATCATACAAATTTGATCTCTGTTTGCTGACAATCACTGAGAGGCGGTTCAAAAAGGATTAGGATCAGGTCCAGATTCTGAATACACTACATATTCCAAGTCCAAGTTCCTTCAGAGGTGGATTTGGTTGGAACTGTGTCTGCCGGAATCGGCCACCCACCATGTTGCAGGGCCCTAAACCACAAATGGGTGTCACTCAAAGACGATGTTGATTGATGTTGCATATGCATTTGGGGGAGGTTTGCCGATGTCAAGCGATTGTGCATACAGCATGTCTCAATATATGTGTGTGTGTGTGTGAGTTTTTCTTTTTGGAACCCCTAAACTGGTGGTTTTCCCTTCGGTGTTCCTTGAACACCACCACAAAAGGAGAGCCCAAAAAAAGGGGCGCGGCTCCATATTTTTTTGTTGGGGTGGCCTTTGGTAGGTCCCTCAGCTAGGTGCCCTTTCTCACCGTTTCTTCTTTTGGGGGAGGCGTCCCCTACTGAAATCTGCGGAAAAAAAGAAGGGAAAGTTGGTACCAACTTCTAACCTCTCAAATCTGGAGGACCTAACTTCTGAAATCTGGAGGACGTAGGTTTTGTTCCCCCCGAACTCTAAGACCCGCCCAAAACCGCGCACCTCGCAGCTCGCAGCTCGCACCCTGTTTCCCTGTTTCCCACCTGGCACCTCAGGCACAGCCATATTTTTGGTTGGTGACGTTTGTTTCATCCCCACCCCCTTAATCATGGAATTGGGGGAGGGGGGTGACCCCTGGAGATCTCCATTTATGGTCTCATGTCCTTTGTAAGGGGAAGACTGGATAACTGGAATTGGGGACCCCTACCCCCCTCCTTATGGTAGGGGTTGTCCTGTTTCCCATTTGGTACCTAGGAACAGGACCTGGTTCAGAAGCTGCGGCACGAGGGCATGAAAGTGTCTCCGGACGGTGTGATGCTGCTGCGGAAGCCGGGCGGCCCAGGCCACGGGCCAGGCTGATCGAAGGCTGCGTAGAAGTTCATCACTATGTACTTGACTGCTATTGGTTGCAACGGATCTTTAGACTTTTTAACCTTTTGGTTGACATCAAGTTGGGTTTTCCGGTTTTCCACACCAATATGTACAATGACTCAGTTCTTCGGTGGCACCAAATCTTTTCCTTTTCTTTTTGTTGGTGGCTGCCCCACTAAAAAGGGTCTTCCCCAAAAAGGGTTCCCTTTTTTTCCAGGGTCACTGAACAACTGAGAGAAAACAGTTTCAGAAGGTGGACTAACTTCACTTATATTGTTTCATGAGAAATGAACAATATAATTCTCGAATCAACTGGCACAACCCCTTTTGTCATTGACACTGATTTTGAAAGTCACAGAAATCAACAAGCCCGCGGCCTTGAGGCCTTTTTTGTTTGTCGGAAAAAAAGAAGGAGAGAAAAAAGGAAACAAAACGCTTGTTTGAGGTGCAAGTTCATCGCGGAGTCCGGCGGCTGCAAGAACTTGTGCCTGAATCTCTGCAAGGCCGGCACCGAAGAATACATGGCGGAGGAGTTCGGCTTCCCCGTGCGACCTTGGGACCGCAAGACACATGTTAGTATACCTCATCTATAAGATATAGTTCTGGGGTTAAATATTCAATTTAGATCCTAGTAATAAACTTTTCCTGCAATACAGTAACAACTGCGTGCTGCAACCCGTGCCGGGTGAAGCGAGCTGTTTGCATTTGGTGCTATATGGCAAGCGTTCGGTGGTTTGACGCAACTTGTAGATCTGGGTAGGCATCATGACCAAATAGTGCAACATAGCGACAAGAATGCAACCTTGAAATCCACAGCAGTTGAACTCGTGACATGGGCTCTCCAAATAGGTAAGTGTTTGAAGTCCCTTTAATTTCCTTGTAACACAACCCCAAAGGATCTACCAGAAAGACACGCGTTTCCATGGCTAACTTGGGATGAGGAATGGTGCCGAACTTCAAAGATCAAAGCTGCGCCATCTTGTTGATGGAGAAGCCAGTGCGACCTGCGCCTTGGCGAAATTCATCCGGAAAATGGACGCATTGGCAAGTGGTTCAACCTAGAGTGTTGCTCGGTTGGGATGCGAAAACCTCAAGTCAACTTTCCATTTTGAAGGAACATTGGGAAGGTCCCCCAGTAGTGCCCCTTTTTACCGTTTCTTTGTTGGGGGGGATTCCCCTACTATAATAGACCACAGATCAAAGAAACGGTACACCTCTCCACTGGAGGACCTAGTTGGCATGCGGCAAGTGTCCTGAGACCAGCGATCCTTGTGGCCCAAATGAGAGTGACGAAAGTGGGAGGGCTGAACACCTCACATCGCCGCAGGAAGAAGATCCTTTGTTCTCTCTGCCATGTGGCGCTGAACACTGCGACAACCAGTTCGCGATGCCGGCGAGGGAGCCGAGCTCGAATCCATGACTCGACCAGAAAAAAGCGCGATCTGGGCACCTTGAAAGAAGCCAGCTGCAGGAAGTTCCACAGGACACTGGCCAAATACTCGCCAAAAGCAAGGATTTTCTCTGCAGAGTTCCTTGCAGCTGGTTTCTTAGACACCGGCTTCCCAGATCCAGCAGTGAGTGCTTGCCTGGCGTGAGCCAGGCATTTGAAGATGCGGGCTGTGATCCGGAGGCTGGTTGGGTTTGAAGATGTGGCCGTTTTTGGTTTCTTGGTGGCTCCCAGACATCCCCTTAGCTTTTTAGTGGGGTTTTCCATTTAGCCCACTAAAAGTTAAACTTTTAGCGGGGGAACTGAGGACAGCCTAGGTTTGTGACAGTTGGGGAAGCGCAAGTTTTTTCTTGGGAGATGTCCATGCCCGGCTCCAGGACTTCCCGCTTGCCATTCTGCAAGAGCGCCAGCTTCTAGGTGCCATCGCTTGAGCAGCGGTCTGGGAACACCCCAAACTGCACGAGGGTTGTCAGATTTCCCTCAGTTTCTCCACAATACAACTGCAAAAAGGGGGGGGCAACTACCCTCACACAAGCGTCGAATGAGTCGCAACCGCTTTCACTTTTTGTTGGTTCTACCAAAACGGCAAAGTGGTCAGCTCAAGATTAGTTCGTTGTTGTTTCCAAGCCTCGACCGCCTCGCACCTGGCACCTCGTGCCCCTGGCCAGGCGAGCTCTGGCGGGTGGGCGCCGGGCGTATGGAGGTCCTCGCGCGCGTCATCGCGCGCCGCAGCGGGCAGACACCGCCGGCGGCGAAGGAGGGTGAGGCGCATGGCCACGGGCGTGGCCGAGTGGGGGGTGGGGTTTCACTCAAATGGCCATGGTTCAAAGCCGTTTTGGGATCCTATTCTGGTTGGTAGGTGAATTCACCACCCATTTTAGAACCTATTGTAGTGGTTGGATCGGGATGTTCACTGGGGGTACGATTTGGACTTTATATGAAACTTGTCAAACTTGGCTAGAGCTCGTCCTGAAACTCGTTGATATTTGTGTGAAACTCGTGAAACTTGGAAGAAAAATAAATAAGGGTTTATTTGTGTTTTAAGTTTCACGAGTTTTACGCAAATACTAACGAGTTTTAGGACGAGCTCTGGCCAAGTTTCATAAGTTTCGCATGTCTGCGCGAAGGACCCATGGCCAGGTAGGGAATGAGTCGGAATGAGCCGTTTTTTGTTGGTCCCTTGAAAGGAAACCACCAGTTGGATGGTTTATAGAGGCCACTACAGTTTCTGCTGCAGAAAATGGTTGGTCTCCTAGTTGGATGGTTGATAGGGGGCCATTCCCTCATTCCCTGGGCTCAAGATGTGAGCTACTTTGAAGGTACACAGAGGCAAACCAACCAGTTCGTGGGGTGCCAGATGCTACACGTGGGTCAGTATTTGATGTGCAAGCAGTGCTTGAGGAATCTCCGAACTACTCCTCCTACGTCCATGACTACTTGTGACGTGCTGGGCTTTCGCCACTTTGTGGCGTAGGCTTGTCGCATTTGTACATAGAGCAACGGAAAAGTGGGGCAAGTGTTTCAATGATCGCGTCAAGGAGCACTGCAGGCAGACAGTACTGCCGTATTCATTGCGGCGCTTCGGGTCAAACCGCATTTACGGAATGAGTATTAGACCATGAGCAGAATCAGAACAACCCTGTTTGCTTGACAGGCTGGCAGTTTTCATCAATGTTTCAGGAAAGTGTTCCCACTTGTTCGGAGCCATGGAAGAGTCTGGCACATCTGACAACAGCAACGTGACGCACCTTGGCAAAGTTGGCAAGTTTGATTTGTGTGATGAAGCACGCATTCAAGTCACATTGTTCTGTGGATGAAACAGTTCCCCAAACGCTTCAGTGAGATGGGTGTGAAGGTTCCACTGCTAGGAGGAGAAGTGTGTGTGTGTGTGTGCGCGCGAAGCATATTTCTGGGTAGCTGGCGAGGTACATATTTTCTGGTCATGACCATACGCTCGGAAACTCCTTGCGATACATGCTGATGAAGGATCCGAATGTGGAGTTTGCTGGCTACACAGCACCTGAGCTGCACTTTGCCAACACCAATGCAGCTGTGGCGAGCATTCACGGCAGCTTTAGATGTGCCGTGCATGGCTTGAGTGATCACCAAGGTACCTCACCCATCAGAGCCATACATGAATGTCCGTGTGCAGACGCATGACGGCAATACGGCGGACGTCACTGGGCAGCACGTTGTCCAAGCTTCTACATTGGCCCCCACTTCCTTGCAAGGGCCGCAATTTCGGTTACACAAACTGTCACCCAGGCGTTGCAAGCACGCATGCTGACTTGGTCGCATTGCTCTTAGGCAGCTGTCGAAGGCGCGCTGAAGAACATCTCCTGGGTCTGTGATCATGACCCGGCCTTGGGGGGGACTGTGGATTCACGCGGGGAGTATCTCCAAAAAGTTGGCGATTCCCTTTGTCCAATCCAAGGGTTATTTGAGATTCAGATGAGTGGAAGGAAATGCGCGCCTGCAATTGAGCTGATGCATTCACTAAGGTTTTGACTACCTTCCAGGAGGCAAAAGAGAAGTTCAAATCTGGTGCAAAATAAAAAGAGGATTGCTTGATAGGAATTGTATGGTGGGCACGAAGTTGTGCAGCTTTGTCAGAAAGAACTGAGTGCTAAAGCGCTATGCCCTACAATCTTTGTAGTCCAAAATTCACCTCGCCCTGCATGCGGGAGGGGAGACGGTTGGTGGTAGCCTGCAAATCAGAGCAGCCTAAAGTGAGAGTATCTCCTGTGTCGAATGGCACTCTGGGGAGCAACCCATAAATGCTCAAATATCCCGAGATTCCAAAAAGCGTCGTTTTGCCAAGCTCAGCACAGGTGAGCGTAGCTTAAGGTCCATGGTTTTATGTAGAAAAAAAATATATTTGAATTTTTGGTATTTAAATTAGATGAACGTTATTAATATAGATTGGTAGGGTTTTAAAATAAATTATATGGAATATATATGTACGATATAATAATATGGGAATATTGAATAGATTGATTTATTTAATATAAAGAATATATTATATATTTTATAAATTAATATTGATATAATGGAATTGATTATATATTAATGGAGGATAATTGTGTATAACGATAACCTCGGTTTAATATATTTTAAAACGATGAAACTGGCCGATTTCGACTTTGCTCGAGAGATTCGAGTGTATGATTTATAGGATGATTGAACATACTTATGAAAGATATTTTTTGGGAGGTTAGAAAACCATTTTATTTAAATATTTCGTGGTTATTTTGATAGTTGTGATTGATAATATCGATCGACGACATTTTTTTTAATGCTTTGAACGAAAATAGTTTGGCTCTATTTATGATTAAGATATTTTTTGGCCGATTGTGTTTTTACGAATGTTTATAAGAATTATATATATGGGTGGATCTTTTGAAATTAATAGTTTATGGATTACTTAGGTAATTGATTTTTATTGATTGTATATTTGTATATTAGAGGCATATGTTTGAATATGTTTTTGAAATGTTATATTTTTAAAATAAAGATTAGAAATAGTAATTTGATTTTTTTATATATATTTTTAAATATTATATATGATATATATTAATATAAATTACCAAAAAAAAAATATAATATTAGTATGGACTCTATAGGAATTATTCTATTCTTAATATATCTACCATGGCCTAGGCTTGAACCCCCTAAGAACTTAACTCATACAATATTTCAGGAGGAATATATAAAATTTCATAAAATCGTATGTTTAACGAATATTTTTATTTTTAATAAATTAAATTATAATAAAATTCTCTTTTATATATTTATATTCTTTCCTAATTATTAATTGAAATTAACGATTTAAGCATTAAATCCCCTAAATATTTATATTAAGCTCAAATAATAATAAAAAATATAAACAAATTAATAATTAAAAAATCATACTATAAATATATCGGTAAATATATATTATATCTCTATATCTATAATTAATTTTTAATATAACCTGATTAAAATATCCTTAACAATATAAACCTTATAAATATAAATATATATATTTATCTATAATTATTAATTAACCATATCTTTTCTATATATTCTAATTCTATTTTTCTTTTATCACAAGCTTCATTTCACACACTACTAAAAAATAACAAGCTCAGGATATAGGCCTAACAAGGAAATTGTCGTTATCCTCATCGAGCAAAATGATGAATTTCATGGTATGCTTCCAAAGTCATCCAATGATTCACTCCTCGAATTCGACAATCGTCATATAACGAGGGCAGACCTCACGTTTGCTACCATTGGATTTATTCAATATTTGAAGAATATATTATATGTTTTATATATTAATATGATGGAATGTATTATATATTAGTTGGAGCTTGTTATTTTTTAGTAGTGTGCGAAATGAAGTTTGTGATAAGAGAGTAATAGAAATAGAATATAAAAGGAAAATATCTATGATTAATATTTAGAGATAAATATATAATTATAGTTTTAAAGTTTATATTGTTAAGGATGTTTTAATAAGATTATATTAAAATCAATTTATAGATATAAAGATATAATATATATTTATTGGTAAGTATATAATATGATTTTTAAATATTGGTATGGATTAATATTTCAGATATTTCTTTATTTAATTTTAATATAATTTAGGGGGATTAATTCCTAAATCGCTAATCTAAATTAGTAATTAGGGAAGAATTAAAATGGATATTTAAAAAAAAAATGAAAGCAATTCTATTATATTTTAATTTATTAAAATCAAGAGTATTCATAAAAATACATTTCTTTTTTTCAATATTTTATATATTCTTCCTAAAGTATTGTATGAGTTGAGCTCTTAGGAACTAAGGCCTAGGTCGTGATATATTAAGAATAGAGTAAATCTTATAGAGTTAGTATTAATAACATATTTTTTGTAATTCATATTAATATATTTTAATATATATATTAAAAATGTCTATTTTTCGAATACGAAATACAAGCCGTTCTTTAAATATAAGATATGAGATGTATTGAGGGCCAAGTTAATCGCTCTTAAATACGCCTAGAAAATTCCGGCCTATGTCATTAAGGTTAATATTCGGCAAAATCATAATATAAATAAATATAAACAAAAATATATATTATAATGGTTAATATCCAAAAATATAAATAAAAAATAATATATCAAATTAATATTCCTAATTCCTATCTTAAAAATATATATTCAATTATCCCTAGTTATCATTCCTAAAAGTGTATAATTCCGCCATAATACCGCCATAAACCTCATAAAATCGAAAAATATTATAATACATAAAGCAAAAATATGCCTCAAACGCCCAATACTAATATGCACATATGTAGTCAGTGAAAAAGCGGTTGCCTAAGTAACCCGTAGACTATTAGTTTCAAAAGATCCATTCATATATATAATTGTTGCAAGCGTTCGCAAAATACAATCGACCAGAAAATATCCTAGTCGTAAATAGAGCCGAATTATTTTCGTTCAAAACAATAGGAAAAATGTCGCCGATCGTAATAATCGGTCACGACTATCAAAATAATCACGAAATATCTAAATGAAATAGTTTTCTAACCTCCCAGAAAATATCCTTCATGGGTGCATTCGTTCCGCAACAAGTTATGCCAATACGATTTTAATCAACCTATAGGTCATGCGCTCGAATCTCTCGGGCTAAGTCGAAATCGGCCAGCTTCATCGTCTTAACCTAAATCTTGAAATACATTGGACCAAGGTTGCCGCCACGGAGAACTGTCCAAGAATATGGGCCCAACAAAGAAATTCTCGTCATCCATATCGAGCAAAGTGATGAATTTCGTGACATGTTTCCAAAGTCATCCAATGATTCACTCCTTGAATTCGACAGTCGCCATATAACGAGGGCAGACCTCCCGTTTGTTACCATTGGATTTATTCAATATTTGAAGAATATATTATATGTTTTATACATTAATATTAATATGATAGAATTTATTATATATTAGTTAAAGTTTGTTATTTTTTAGTAATGTGCGAAATAAAGCTTGTAATAAAAGAATAATAGAATTAAAATATAAAAAGAAAATATGTTTAATTTATATTCATAAATAAATATATATAATTATATTTATAAAATTTATATTATTAAAGATATCTTAATAAGGTTATATTAAAAATTAATTAAAGATATAAAGATATAATATATATTTATCGGTAAGTATGTAGTATGATTTTTTACTTAGTGGTTTGGATTAATATTTTAATATTTTTATTTTTTTAAAAAAATAATATAATTTAAAGGGATTAATTCCTAAATCATTAATCTAAATTAATAATTAAGGAAGAATTAATATATATAATAAGAAAAGATTATATAATTATAAAAAATATCTATTAAAAACAAAATTATTTATAAACAATTAATTTAGCAAAAAATTATATATTCTTACTAAAGTATTATATAAATTAAGTTCTTAGGAACTACGACCTAGGTCGTAATATATTAACAATACTCTAAATCTTATAAAATCCATATTAATAAAATATTTTTTGTATTTTATATTACACTAAAAACAAAAAATTCCGATCTATATCGTTAAAAATATGTTAATACCCAAAAATATAAAAAATATATTAATTTAATATTCCTAATATTCAATTATTCCTAAAAAAAAATATATTTCCGCCATAATATCACCATAAGACTCACAATTTTGAAAACAATACTATAATTCATAAAGCAAAAATATCTCTCAAACGCCCAATATTAATATATAAATATACAATCAATAAAAAAGAAAAAATAATTATTTAAAAAACCCATAAACAATTAATTTCAAAAATCCACCTGCATATATAATTAATACAAGTGTTCACAAAAACACAATCGACCAGAAAATATCCTAATCGTAAATAGGGCCGAACTATTTTCGCTCAAAACATTAGGAAAAATGTCGCCGATCGTAATAATCGGCCACGGCTATCAAAATAATCACGAAATATCTAAATGAGATGGTTTTCTAACCTCCCAGAAAACATCTTTCATGGGTGCGTTCGTTCCGCAGCAGGTCATGCCAATACGATTTTGCTCAACCTAAAGGCCATGCGCTCAAATCTCTCGAGCTAAGTCGAAATCGGCCAGCTTCATCGTCTTAACCTAAATCTTGAAGCACATTGGACCTCCAAAGTCATCCAATGACTCATTCCTCGAATTCGACAGCCGCCATGTAACGAGGGCAGACCTCCCGTTTGCTACCATTGGAGTTTTTCACATCCATCCATCAATCAGCCATGGCGCAGCACGGGACGATTTTCAAACCGAAACCATGCCGCTCGTAACATTGTATCAATGCGATGCAATCACCGGAGACGCCAACAAGTCCGCGAACACCTACAGCAAACTCCAACACGTCTACAATCCGGCCAACGGTCTCATGAATATCCTCATGAAGGCATACCAGAGATTGTGGAATAAAACGGAGAACTTGCCACTCGTGGACAGAATGGAATAATTATGCAATGGAGACTTCCTGCACCCTGAAATCCATCGTCCGTCATCACCTATACATGAAGACTGGATCCGGGTTTGATCGAACATTCCCAGATGTTATGATGACTTTCGTATTTGGATGGGGCAAAACAAACATCCAGCAGTTTTCCGGAAGGAAGAGATGAACGCAATGAAAGATGATCAACTGGAAACCATGCGGAACGATCCTACGGCTGCCATTTTCGACTATCAGGTCTCATCCGCGGAACGTTTCAAGCACGTGAACAACGAGAT